ACAGAGAAGGTAGCCATGGCCCATGTGGAGCCTGTGTCCCTTGCTACTGGGATGGAGCCCCTGAAGGCCCCTTCCTCCACGCCACTCTGCTTCTCCATGCCCTGGTTTACTTTGCCTCCTCCTCCAAGATGCCTTCCAGAGGTAGTTCGCGCTGGGCCGCACCCTGAGCCAGCCGGCCTCGGCCCTTCGCCCATGCTGGGTGCTACCAGCCAGGCTCTTCTGATGGCCATTCTCAAGGAAGCCGGCAAGGCAAGCCACTCGGGGTTCATCCCAAGCCCTCCAATGTGGGGTGCCTGGGCCCAGTTCTGTCTCCTCCAAAATCACGGAGCCGGTCTGGCTGGCACTGCTCCCCCCAGGAACAGCCGGCTGGGGGGCGGTAGGGCGGGGGCGGAGCAGACAGCGCGTGGACCGGTAGGGGATGTTCTCTTCCACGAACCTGGGCCCCGCGCCCGCGCGAGGCCTCTCCCCGGCCCCACTCCTAGCCCCAAGCCCAGCCTCTGTTTAGATCCCTTCCTTCCACTCGCGATGTAAGCGGCTTTCCCCTGACACTCAGGCAGCGCGGGGTGGGAGGCGGCACACAAGGACAGCCGGCTGGGGACGGCGACTGTGGGCCTCAAGTGAGGCCGGGGTGGCGACCGCCGGAGCATCTGGTTCGAATCCTTCCGTTTCTGGCCAGGTAGTGGGTGGCCTGGGACAGGATTCCACGGCGACGTAGGGGCAGAAAGCAGCTGCTGAGGCATCGGCGGCGGCGGTGGTAGCTCAGGGTCCACGATCGCTTGTCCTGAAGTGGAGAGGAATTCAATCAGACAGGGGGACCACCGAGCGGTGAATCATGCTCCTCCTGGCCTTTGAAAGCCTTGTTTTTGAGAGCTCGGGGAGGCTGGGATTAGGCCCAAGGGTGGCGTCCCAACGCGCGCCAACCCTTCCCCTCTTCCTCTGGGGGGAAAGCCTGTCCGACTAGCCGGGTCACCCAGCGCCTGGCAGCTTCCGGCCCCCTCCAATTGGCTGCGGGGGCCGATGACATCACCCGTTGCCATGGCGAACACCCGCCTCTGGACGTGGGCAGTCTGGAGCCCACCCAGGTAAAAATAGCGTGTGTCCCCATCGTGGGCCGCCCCATTGTGTGTGCTGGGGAGGGGAGTGCCATGGACATTAGCTTTCCGTTCTACCTCCGCCAAGGGTTGTGGGCAGCCGGCTTCCTTCAGGGCCTCAGTTTCCAGGCCTGTAACTCACCCGTACGTGATGCAAAATAGCAGGTGCATTATGACCTGCAACCCTCCTGATGTTTAACCCCCTTACAGATGGAGAAACTGAGGCAGGCTATTCCCCAATCACTTGCTGGGCCAGGAAGGAACAGATATTATAGCCAGGTGATGGGTGGCTTGGGGGTGGTGCCCCATGCTGGTTGGGGTGGCCCCAGATTTGGAATTTGTGCCGCATGGGCTTTCAGAATTCCTCTCTGGCCGGCCACGTCTGAGCGTGGACCCCAAGCCCAGTGCTTTCTGCCCCCCGTGTGGAAGGCCACCCGGATCCCCACAGGAAGCATGCTTGGCGCTAGGAGGTCCCGCAGGACAGAGGCGAGCCAGGCGCACTGAGGCCTGCCCTTCCCAGTGAGGTACATGAGATCATGGCTTTTCTGTCTTGCCCAGCAGGGATGTCTGCGAGGTGCGTAGGGGAACAACCTGGAGTTCTCTCTTCCTCAGCAGGATGCTTATTTTAAGCAACTACTAATATTCTTTTGGTTTCTTTCAGAGGGAGTCTTGCTATGTAGTTCTAGCTAGCCTTGAACTCCCAGGCTAGCCTCGAGCTCCCTGTGACCCTCCTGCCTCCGCATCTCAGGTGCTGGGATTACACCTGACCTGATATTCCTCTTGATCAACAGAATTCATTTTTCTGGGCGTGGAGGTGCATATCTCTAATCCCAGCACTCTCAAGGCTGAGGCGGGAGGGTCACTGTGAGTTTGAGATCAGCCAGGGCTACATAGTGAGTTCAAGACCACCCTAAACTACATAAGGAAACCCTGTCTCAAAGGAAAAAATAGAATTCTTCATTTTTATATTTATATATTTTTGTGGTAATGGAGATTGAACCCAGGCCCTTTGCCCGGATCTATGTCCACAACCTTTTCTTATTTTATTTTTGAAGCAGGTTCTTGCTAAATCACTAAGTCGCCTAGGGTGAACTCAAATCTGTAGTCCTCCAGTCTCAGCATCCCCAGTGCTGGGATTACAGGCATGCCCCACCACATGTGGTATCAGTGGCCTGCGAGGTACACCTGGGGTTCCAGGGCCAGCCTGGCATGTGGTACCAGGGATTGAACCTGGGTCCTTGAGCTTGCCAGGCAGGCGCTTAGACCACCAAGCTATCTCTCCAGCCCTGGCTCCATTTATTTCAAATAAAAGGTTGGTTGGGGTTTGTATTGTTTTGTTTTGTTGTTTTTTGTTTTGTATTTAGTGCAGATCTATAGGGTCTACAGGGTCTCACTACATAGATCGGACTCCTAGTGATCCTCCTGTTTCCAGCTTCCCAAGTGCTAGGATTACAGGTGCATGCAACCATGTCCAGTCTCAAGTGCTGTCTCAGCACGCCCTGGGGCAGAGGCTGGCATGGCAGGTTGAGGATGCAACCTCCGAACCCCGTGTCTGCCTAAGCAGGCACTTTAATCCGCTGAGCTATCTGGCCCGCCCAATTTTTTTTTTTTTTTTCCGGAACCTGGGATTGAACTCAGGCCCTTGCCAGGGAAGCGCTTATTCCACTGAGCCATCTCCCCACCAAAAGTATTTTTTAAACCCAATGGTGTCACATGCCTGTGGTCCCAGCACTCACGAACTGAGGCAGAGGATCCATCTTGAGTTCAAGGCCAGCCTGAAATACAGAGATCCTGTCTTAGAAAACGTATGTATTGGGGCTGGTGAGATGGCTCAGTGGTCTAAAGCACCTACTTAGAACAAGCTTAGCAAAGCACAGGGACCGCGGTTCAATCTCCCAGCACCACATGCCAGCCAGCCCCGCCCCCTGGTGGGCTGAGCTGGCCATACACACACACACACACACACACACACACACACACACAAATAAAATGAAAAAAAAGAAAACATATGTATTTTTAAAAAGCGGTGCAAAGGCCTGGGGAATGAGGCCTCCACGGGCTCCAATTTGGGGGATTAATGAGTCAAAGGTCAGAGTTCAAAGGGCTTCATTTCCTGGGAATGATGGAGTCTCTCTTTTCTTTCAGAAGGAGCTGAGCCTGCCTCGCAGGGGCCGCAGGTGAGTCCCCTGGCGCTGAGGGTTGGAGGGCTTCGCTGCTGGCTTTGCGTTGTGAATTTATTTTGGCAGAACCGGGGATTGAACTCAGAGCCTTGAGTTTGCCAGTCAGGCGCTTATCCTACTGAGCCATCTCCCCAGCCCCTGGGTTGTGAACTTAATACTGACTCTGCTCCTCACCTGATCTTCCCTGGCATTCCTTTAGTGCTTCACAAGCATCTCACCGACAGCCCAGGAAACCCCTGGCACTATGCAAATGTATGCAAATGAGGAACTTGAGTAGAGGCGTTGCTCCCAAGGTGTTAGGGCACCAGCGCTGAATGAGATGTTCCTTGCACCCCAAGTCTCCTGGCTCCGGCTTGAATGCCTTCCGCGACAGGGCGCTCATTGCTTTTCGGGGGACATGAGGACACAGTCTTCTCTGGTTCCCATGGGCATTCCTGTGGGCTGGCAAAGAGACTACATGTACTGTTTTCCCCGTTTGCAGGTGGGGGATACCAAAGCCCAGACAGACAGGGGTTCGTGTCCTGCCTTGCGCCATCTGGTTGTCCAGAAGTATGTGTATGTGGAGACCCCGTGTTTGCCGGGTGCATTTGCCTGAGCCGGGGGTATGGGAATCACTCAACGAACACTTCTGAGCACAGACTGTGTGTTTGAGGCTTGAGGGACCCAGAGTCAATACAATGCCAGGGAGCTCGCATTCCAGGAAGAAGGGACAGTGGCGTGAGGTAGAAATTCAACAGAAGGGGATAGAAGGAGGCTGGTCCCAGCATGTGGGACCTCTTGAGGAGGGCCCTTGGGGGCGTGGATCTGCAGAGGAGAGGCACCACGGGGAGGGCTGGAGATGCCCTGCGGCACGGGGCACCACGCGAGCGCAAAGGTGCCAGTGTAGCATCGCAGACCAGCGTGGACCTGAGGGCGGAGGGCAAAGCAGGTGGATGGCAGAGGGCGGGGTTCCGAGGACGAGGCTGGCTGCGTGGCCGCCACGCCCGGCCATCTGCTCCTGCTGGTCCCGGGCTGGCCAGCTGGAGGGGCGGGACTCCGACGTTACCCTGGCCTTTGCTCAGGTTGGGGGCAGGGCAAGGGCCAGCTGTTAACCTCATGGGACAAAGTCCTGGGCCCTAGGGCTGGGCCGGACAAAGCTCTGAGGAATCGCCCCTCCTCCACATACTCCCCTCCCTCCCCGGTTCCCGGGCTGGCTGGCTGGGACCCCCCTGGGCTTCAATGGGCCAGAGGGGGACGCCGACACTTCCAGATCTGTCTGTCACCCGGAGATAGTCTCGCAGAGGCGGGGACCGAGGGCGCACTGGAACATGGTCACTGGGACACGTTCCTGCAGAGGCCCAGAGCGGCGGGGGCCTCGGGTCCGGGGTGCTGGAACACGCAACGAGGCTAGGGCGTAGTAAGCAGGACAGGCCCGGGTGACATCGGAGGCGCGAGGGCGGGGCGCGATGAAGCAATGAAGCGGGCGGGGAGACGGACCCGCCCTTCCTCTCAAGTCCGGGGGCTCCGGGACGTGGCCTGGAGGCTGCGGGGTCCCACGGGGAAGCGGCAGCTGGTGTGGCTTTCTGCTCACCGCGACCCCGCCCGCCGAGCTGGCGCGCGCGCAGGTTCCGGCTGCGCCCCGGCCTCACCATAGCCCGGCTGCGCACTGCCCCTCCCGATGACGGGCGTGGTCGACGCCGCCCCGCCCCCCGATGGGCGGTTCCTTTCACGCCCCGCCCGCGAGGGGCGGAGTCGGCCTTGCCCGGCGCTCGGCCACGCACCTCCCGCCGCCGCCGCCGCCGCCTGGCGATCGCGCCACGATCCGGGGCCCAGGCCTCCCGCAGGGCGTCGGCAGCCGGCGGTGTAGCTGCGGCTTGGCCTGGCCATGAAGTCCCGCAGGGATAAACTGCACATCCCAGCCCTGACCCTCGAGTGAGTTTCCCGCGGGCGTGGGGACCCAGGAGGACCCCGACACCGCCCTGATCGCGTCCCCGCGCCGCCTCCGGGGAGCCCTCCCGGGCCCCAGCAGTCTGATCTGGATCGGGCCGCTCTCGGTCGCCGCCAGGTCACGGCCGCCTCTCTCTTCGCAGTCTGTCCCCGAGCAGCCAGAGCCCGGCGCTGCTTAGCCCTAGCAGCCCCTGCAGCCCCTGCAGCCCCTCGCTGGGCCTGCACCTCTGGAGGTGAGTGACTCATGGCCTCAGTTTACCCCGCACGCACCGCTCCTACCTCCTCGGGCCTGGCCGGCGGGGTTCTACCCGTGGCAGGTGGCCGGGCAAGGTGGAACTTGAGCTGTGGCCCAAAGACTCTGGGGCAGGTGCAGGGTTCCCAGGCACCCAGGACCTGGGCAGGACCAGAATGCTCAGCAAGGCCAAGAACAGCTCACGTCCCAGCTGCCCAAACTGAGGTTCTTGCATCTGAGGCCTGTAGGAGGTTGGTGACACCCTTCACAATGGCTTTCACTTGTGTACCTGAGAGAATATCATGGCCTCCTTGTGTGTTTTGTTTGGCAGTCATTCACACATTAGTATGAACAAGTTGCTTAGCCGTTTCTGTTGGCTTTTAGCGAGAAGAGAGCAATATGGAGCCCACAATCAGTGTCAGACAGCAGGTACCTTCACGCAGAGAGCAAGTACTTAGCAGGTACCTACTGGGTGCCAGGTGCTAAGAGCATAGATGTGGATCAGAAGAAAACTGTCGGGGCTGGTGAGATGGCTCAGTGGTCTAAAGCACCTACTTAGAACAAGCTTAGCAGACCACAGGGACCGCTGTTCAATCCCCCAGCACCACAAGCCAGCCAGCCCCGCCCCCTGGTGGGCTGAGCTGCCCCCCCACACACATAAATAAATAAAAATTAAAAAAAAAAAAGAAGAAGAAGAAAACTGTCCCTCTCTTTGGGAGTTGTCAGTCCCCTGGGGGAGGTGACCAGCAAACACAGGAATGGATAACAGACATTTTCAAGTGAGGAACTGCGGGCAGGTGGCATGTGAGCTTGGGGAGATTGGTGCCAGACACTGAAGGTCCTGGGGTAGAGTGGAAGTTTTTACAGTGCCTTTGGCTGCCTTGACAGGGAAGTGATGAGGACAGCAGTGGATTTTCAGAGATGGGAGGCAAGTAGGGCAGCACCCACACCGAGGGTGGCAGGACATCGGGACCTGGCCTGGGGGCCACAGGAGAGCACACAGGCCTGGGATCTCAGTGTGCGTCGCTCAGGGCTGTGTCGGGCCCAGCCTTCAGCGCTTGGCCTCTGTGTGAGCGAAGGAGGCCTCGGGTAGCCAGCTGCTCAGTGGGTTTTATCAAGGGGAAATGGAAGCACAGAGAATTTGGGGCCGGCGCAGAGGTCACCAAACCTCTCCAGTGGCCACCAGAGGGCAGCAGAGCCCCACCACCCAAGAAACCCGGTCCTTGCCTGCGGGTTTTGGCCCTGAACCTGAGGAAATACCATGAATTTCTCTCTGGGCTTGTGTCCCAGCCCTGTACACCTTAGCGTGAGTGAGGTTCACAGATCCTTAGCAATAAGCCCTCCCTGGGCATGCAGGTGCAGGCAGGCCGGGCCCCAGGCCCTTTGTGTGTGCTGCACCCTCAGCCCCAGAGCTCCCTTCCCCGGCTGCTGGGTGTTCACCAGGCCCCCGGAAGGGAGGGCTCCCTGCGCCTGCTTCCTCCCAGATCTCACACCCATGGCCTGTGCGTGTTTGGGGACCCGCGGCCGGAATGTGACCCCTGTGTCTTCTCATATGATCGTGGAGTTGTTTTAACGTGCAGTCTGGATGAATGGTGAGCAGCTCCAAGGCTCCATGGGGGACGGGCATGCCAGTGGTTGGTGGCAGTTCCTTCTGGGGCCTTGAATGCCAAGGCAGGAGGAAGGTGGAATTTCTAGCTCAGCCAAGAGATGTGGGGCGGGAGAGGCACTGACAGCCTGGAAGGACTACAGGTTGTGTGGGGTTCAGTGCACTTACCCTGGGCTGTGCTGTCATGGTCCCTATGTGTCAGAAAGAAGCAGCCGCCAAGGTCGCAGTGGCCTAGAGATCCAGACCCCATGCAGGAGGTTTACGTAGCAGCAGCGGTGGCAGCATGGGTTTGCAGCAAAGTCGCTGAGGAGCCAAGGAGGGCTTGGGCGAGTGTGCGTGGGAGGCCGCCCTCTAGTGGGGGCAAGGGATCGCCTTCCAGGGCAAGGTGGGTATGGGAGAGGCAGGTGCTGGGGACCACAGGAGCAGTGGCATCTGTCATTGAGCGCCTGTGGCTATGTTCTGCGCATGTGCAGAAGTGTTTCCCCGCCTGGGTTGGGTGGTAACTTGATTGTGGTTTCCACCCCAGCGGGGGGCCGGCAGAACTGGGAGGCTCCATCGCCTGTGCCCAAGGGAACTATTCCTGCCCCTGGTCTTCATGCGTCCCCTGGGGCACAGAGCAGCTTCAATTCCTGGCGCTGTGGTGCAAATCTGTCATATCAGCACTTGGGAGGCTGAGGCAGGACAGTTGCAAGTTGAAGCCCAGTCTGGAAAACTTACTGATTTAGCAAGATCCTGTCTCAAAATTTAAAAAAAAAAAAAAAAAAAATTAAAATGAGAAGGGTTGGGGGCCTGCCCCTTAGCTCAGTTCTTTAAGTGGCTGCTTCAACAAAGCAGTCAGGCTCAGGTTGCTGTGGTTCGATCCCCACAACTCAAACCAGCCAAACCTGCCCTGAAGGCATTCGGAGAAAAAAAAATCCTTATTCCATTTTGGGGCCGTGGAGATGGGTCAGTGGAATAAGCACTTCCCTGGCAAACGCAAGGGCCAGAGTTCAATCCCCGGTTCCACCAAAAAATTAAAAAAAAAGAAAAAGAAATTAAAATGAGAAGGGTTGCATCTCAGTGTGAAGGCCCTGGGTTCATTTCCTACTATAGGGGAGGGGGTTTGTAGAACCCTCATTTTTCCCCATCCCCATTCTGATCTGTGCCTCAGTATCCCTCAGTACTGTCCCAACACCTCATGGGCCTCTTCCCTGTCCCCTGCTGCCCATGGCAGACACAAAAAGAATCACTCCTTCCCTGCTGTACACAAGCAGCCTCCACAGCTCTCCGATTCCCTGACTGTGACCCTTAGGCTGCTCCCTGGGGCGCCACCTGGCTCCCATCTCCATGGCCAGCTCCTCTTTCCTCAGTGCCCCCTGGGTGCAGTGACACCTCTTCAGTGGGTCCTTGGCTGAGGTGTCCGCCCCCCCCACGTGCCACCACCAGCCCATTTCTTCACACTGCATTTGTCACTGTCTTCCGTCATTGTTCCTGCATCTTCTCTGTCCCCCAGCCCAGCCCAGGGCCTTAAGGACTGGATTCATGTTGGTCCTCGTTGGGTTGTACGGTTCAGCAAGGGTCGGGCTCAGGCTGTTTGTTGAATGAATGAAGAACCGCTTGTGGGTGTTTGAGTTCTGGGTCTAGGAAGCCTGCGTAGGAGGATGCAGATTCCAGGGTGGCACTGGGCATGGAGGAGACCCAGTGGAGCCAGCCTGCGACTTGAATCAGGGAGGGTGAGGACTACACACTGGGTGACAGCAGCTACCTGTGTATCAGTTCCCTCTAAGTTAGTCTGATGTTCATGCACGTATAAGGACAGTGAACAGCGCTTGTAGGCCTCTGTGCTGTCCTGACTGCCCTGTTCCCGGCAGGCCCCAGAGACAGAGGCCAGATAGGGCCCTGGGCTTCCTGTCACCACACACAGGTGGAACGTCAGGCCCTGATGCAGCTGGCACCGCCCTCAGTGCAGGAAGGGTGCCCCTAGAGCCCCCAGGCTGGAGAAGCGAAACCAGGCAAACCCAAGCCAGGGCTGCACGGCGGCCGGGGAACTGGATTTTGCCACACCAATTCGAAACGATGGAGCCAGAACGGGCGTGGTGGCAGAAACAGAGCCAGGTCGCAGGGTGGGCCCTGAATGTGGCACAGAGCTGGGGTCAGCACGGTGTGGGGTGATGAGGGAGGAAAGGGGCGGTGATGGTATTTACAGGGCAAAGGAGGCCAAGCTGCACTCCCTGCCAACGCCCCGCCCCCGCGAGCCCTGGCAACGCCCCGCCCCGCCGCCTTCGGTCATAGCAACGCCCCGCCTACTCGCCCGCAGGCGAGCCCGGGGCTTCGCTTCCGCGTCCAGGCCCCGCCCCCTGATCCAGGCCCCGCCCCTGCCCTCCCGGGCGGGGTTCCCGGCCGCGCTCCTCTGGGCGCGCGCTTCCTCCCGCCGCCCCCCTTCGGCGGCCCCGCGCCCCCGTCCACCCTGCTTGCGGGGCTCCGGGCAGATCCCATCGCAGGGTCGCGCCCCGCCCCGCCCGCTGCGCCCCTGCACGCCCCGGGCCTCGGGCGGTGGCGGCGGCGGCGACACAAAGGGAAGCAGCATGTCCGACCCCAGCTACTGGACGGCGGTGGCGGCCCCCGGGCACCGCAGCCGCCTGGCCAAGGGCGCGCTGCTGCAGCGCTCCAAGAGGTAGGGGACGCGGGCGTCCCCGCGGCGTGGCGGGTTCCCAGGGCCAACGCGGGAGGCGGGAGGCGGGGACAGAGAGCGTCCTCAGCCCATTGATCCCCGACCACTGGAGTAACTGCGGGGTGGGGCCCAGCTGGGATTCGAACCCCGGTCTCAGGTCGAGGAGCGTGGAAAAGCCGAGGCCGCTCTGCCCCGGGGCGCTCAAGGGAAACGCTGGCTCGCAGCAAACATTTGCTGCGGGAGGCAGCCTGTGGGTGGAGAGCAAGGCCTGTGGGTCTGGGGCTCACCCCAGGCCCGGTCAGGCCTCCTGGAATCTGGGTTCCCCTCTGGAAAGCTGAGCGGCTGAGGCAGAGCTCTACGGAACCAGCTTCACAACACAGTGCTGTGTGGCCTCAGGCAGCTGCCTAACCTCTCTGTGCTTGGTTGGTCAGCCAGGCCAAGTTCTGGCGGTGGAAGCCCTGGATGGCAAGCCCAAGCTCAGGCTCTGCTCCAAGGGGAACACATTTGTGTGCACGGCACACCTGAAGTGACCAGGGCTCTGCTCTCACTTTATTCTCCTTGTCCGTGGGTTCGGGCTGCCTGAAGAGACCATCAGGTGCCGGAGGGTCCCCAGCCTCCCTTGGCCCAGAAGGGCTGTAAAGACAGCTGGCACTCAGTAGCTGCTGCAGAGGTGAACGGGTAAAGCGGGGCTGTCCTTGGAGACCCCAGCTGAGCTGTATGTTCAGGGCATGGCCTGTGGGCCCCAGGGAGGCCACCCCAGTTCACTGGTGTCCCCACAAATGCGACAACACAATGGGGTGCAGCAAGGGGGGAGGACCCAGGTGACACCCGGCCGGAGAGGATGTGGCAACAGGCAGTGCTCACATGTGTGTCGGGGGAAGAAGAGGGGGCAGGAAGTCGCACAAGGACCTGCTGTTTTTCACTTTTGCTTCAGCACCTTGGGCCAGGGAAGGACAGTCATCTCAGCACTTGGGAGGCTGAGGCAGGAGGATCACTGTGAGTTCCCGAGCTACATAGCCAGACTCTGTCTCAAAATCAGTAGCAACAACAGTAATCCCTGGGACTGTTGGCATCTCTAGCCTGTTTCCCAACTTGGCAGTGGCTGTGACTGGTCTCCCACCCGCTGGGGGCTTCTTGGGATTGGGGGTGTCACTGCAGAGGCATCACCTGAGCCCTTGGCTCTCCCTCTGAGGGCACTGTCAGTTCTGGAGAGGGAGAATGGTACTAGACTGCCTGTGGCATCACATGTGTTCTCCCACCATCCTTTGGGGCACACAGGCAGGTAAACTGAGGTTCAGAGAGACACCTTGGGTAGAGCCCCCCCATCTCCATCTCCTGCACTGTCTGCTGTCAGTGCTGTCCCCTCTCCCAGGCCATCTCCACAGCCACCCAAGGCCCAGGGCCCTCTCTCCTGCGTGTGCTCTGGAGCCGCGTTGGCGGCGCGTGGGCTGCAGCGCCTGTCAGGCTGAGGCAGCAGCCGTTGCCGAGCGACTGCTGGCTGGGACATGTAGCTCCCGACATCCCTCTGCCGCGGTGGGCGGGGGCTGGGCTGGGCCTTGGGGGTGTTGCCGGCAGCAGGAGACGCCAGGGGCCTGTGGGCCAACCAGAAGGGGGTACGGGGCAAAAGGCAGGCTCAGGACAGACCCGAAGCTAGGGGGAGACAGGTTGAGGGGGGGTTGCTGGCACAGGTGGACACTCAGGGAGTCCTGAGGGGTGGGGCAACGCTGGGGTGATGGATCAGGAAAGGCTGTCAGCTGAATTCAGCCCCTGCTGGTTTGGGGTTTTTCTTCATGGTTTTGTTTTTTCAAGATAGGATTTCTCTCTGTGTCACCCAGGCTGCCCTGAAAGCTGTTGTAAACCTCCTGTCTCAGCCTCCTGAGTGCCTGGATGCACATGAAGCTGGCCCAGGGGGTGCTGGACACACACAGTGGTCACTGTGAGGCTGGAAGGGCTTCTGCTATTAACAGTGGCAGCAGTGTCCATAATTAGGGACATTTGGCCAGTGGTCGCTCCCTTCCTGGCCTGGATACTAAGGGGCTCTGAGTAGGGTGGCGGGCGGGGGGGTACACCCACTCAGACAGGCACAGGCCCCTGGAGCCCCAGGCCCTGGCCACCCATCCACCCTTGTGTCCCCACCCCATCCACAGCTGCCGCAGTGGGAACCGCAAAAGCTTGGTGGTGGGGACGCCGTCTCCGACTCTCTCCCGGCCCCTGTCACCGCTGTCCATCCCCACTGGTGAGTACAGTAACAGCGGACAGGCACACAGAGTCCTGTCTGGGCCTCCGCTGACTCAGTTTCCTCACCTCCTCCTCAGCAGGCAGCAGCCCGTTGGACAGCCCACGGAACTTCTCGGCTGCATCTGCCATTAACTTCCCCTTCGCCCGCAGGTGAGCGCTGTGGGTGTCCCGGGGGACGGGCTTGGGATCCCTCAGCAGTGGGACCCCCCTCTCATCTGCCTCTGCCTCCCCCAACCCCCTGGTGGCGGACTCTCTCTCTGTGCCCGCAGCCACATCCCACGCAGCGACAGGTAATGGGCAAGCATCACTCACCCACTAACAAGCCACTAACTCCCTGGTCCCAAGCTGCCAACCTCACTAACTCACCTGCACTTATTGAGTCCCTGCTGGGGGCTGGGCTCCTGTGGAACCCGAGGCTGGCAGGTCTTCAGGCCAGTGCAGGGGGTGGCGGGTAGTGTGTCCCCAAACAGCCATGCGTGGAGGGCAGAGTTTGATGAGGGCCATGCTGGCTGCTGGGTAACGGTAGGCTTCCAAAGGAGGTGTCCAAAGGCCCAGGAGCCCCATTTCATGAGGCTGGAACCTGCCAGCTACAGCCTCTGCCCTAGTCCCTAGAGCCACAGGGCTGGTTCCACTACCCCCATTCTGATCCTACCGCAGGGCTGACGGGAGAAGATGGTCCCTCGCATCCCTCCCATCTTCCGGCTATGGAACCAACACGCCCAGCTCCACTGTCTCGGTACTCATGGTCCCATCTAGGCGGGTGTGGGGTGTCGAAGACACATCTTGGGGTGTTTCCCAGGGGTCGATCAGATAGTTATCTAGTCATCAGACAGCCTGGCTACCCATTTTGTGTCCCGTACTCTGTGGGTTATTGGGTACCACTGGGAAGCTCAGCCTTGGCCCCAAGGGTCCCCCAGTCTGTCCCTAAACTGAGGTTGGGATCAGGCCAGAGGGACATGTGGGACTCAAGCCAGACAGGGGTAGCTGAAGGAAGGGACATCAGAGGTGGGGTTTTGAGGGCTGCCTAGGAGATGGACAGGAGAAAGGGATGGACAGTCCTGCATCCCAGCCGTGGCCCTGACCCCCACCTCCCGCAGTCGAGCTCATCCTCCCGGGAGCGTCTCCATCAGCTTCCCTTCCAGCCGACGCCGGACGAGCTGCGCTTCCTGTCCAAGCATTTCCGCAGCTCCGAGAGCGTGGTGGACGAGGACGGTGGCCGCTCTCCCCGACTGCGGCCCCGTTCCCGCAGCCTCAGGTTGGCCCCACCTCTGCCCTTTCTTGCACTGGCCTGGGGACCACACTGTACCCCTGTGCCATCTCTGGCCCCCAGCCTCGGCTCTCACATGGGCCACCTGTCCCCCTTGCAGCCCTGGCCGTGCCACCGGCAGCTTCGATAATGAAATCGTCATGATGAACCACGTGTACCGGGAGCGGTTCCCCAAGGTGGGCGCTGCTTCCCTGCCCTCGCCCGGGCCTCCCCGCCCAGCACCGCCCCCAGGGCTGCACTCTGAGTCCCTGTCCCGTTTTGCTGTCCAGGCCACCGCCCAGATGGAGGGCCGGCTGCAGGAATTCCTGGCCGCCTACGCGCCCGGCGCCCGGCTGGCTCTGGCCGATGGCGTCCTGGGCTTCATCCATCACCAGATTGTGGAGCTGGCCCGGGACTGCCTGGCCAAGTCCGGTGAGGCGCTGGTCACCTCGCGCTACTTCCTGGAGATGCAGGAGAAGCTGGAGCGCCTGCTGCTGGACGTGGGTTGGGGCCAGGCCAGGTGGGGGCGGGGCTGGGTGGACGGAGTGGGAGGGGCCTGCGGGAAGGACCTGGGGGTGGGGCTGAAGGCCCACAGCTCTGTGGGCATGAGTGGGGCGGGGCTCCGCCAGAGTGGTGGGGGGATGAGCTGTGGGTGTGGCCAGGGGCGGAGCTGGGTGGTGGGCAGGGCCTGATGCGTTGCCACGCCCCTCGCCAGGCTCATGAGCGCTCGGACAGCGAGGAAGTTGGCTTCATCGTCCAGCTCGTCCGGAAGCTGCTGATCATCATCTCACGGCCAGCTCGGCTCCTCGAGTGCTTGGTGAGCCCTTTGCCTGTGATTCAGTGGAACCCAGAGATGGTGGCCACTGAGCAGAGCCTTAGCAGACACAGGGAGGGACACGCGGCACCGGGCCCTGTGTGACCAGCTGTCCCTGCGCCGCAGGAGTTCGATCCCGAGGAGTTCTACCACCTGCTGGAGGCTGCCGAAGGCCAGGCACGGGAAGGCCAGGGCATCAAGACCGACCTACCACAGTACATCATTGGGCAGCTGGGCCTGGCCAAGGACCCGCTGGAAGGTGAGCGGGAGGAGCGAAGCAGAAAGTGGGCAGCGGCAAAGTGCAGGACGAGGGCAGATGCAGGGAAGAAGAGGCCCAGGGGCCGGGCCGGCGGTCGGGCTGGCAGTACCTGGCCCAGTGGGCATTGGGCCACGTAGAGTTGCAGAAATTGCCGAGTGGTAGAGGGACGAGGTGCAAAGTCAGCTCTCCTCCCTCGGCTCACAGAGATTGTGCCTCTGAGTGACGTTGATGGAGGACAGCCCCCTGCACCTGAGTCACCAGAGGTGAGTCACCCGAGTGTCGGATCCTCTCCTGTCTTAACACTTCCCCTTGTAAACCAGGCAGCCACAGCAAGAGCTGGTACACCAGTGACTTTGGGGGAAAGTACCAGTAGGCAGGGCCTCCTTGATGTGGAGGCCTGGTGGAGCTAGGCCAGAAGAGCCCTGAAGGGTGGGTTTTGGAGGATGTGTAAGAGTTTGTTAGGAGGCAGACACGACTTGGAAAATCCTCAGAGAAGCTGATTTGAGAAGTTTGGGTAGGGAGGAAGTGGTGTTGGGCACCAGGACAGGCAGCGTGGACTTGGGGACAGGAGAAGGCATCTGTAGGTTCTGCAGTGGGGCAGGACCTGAGCCTTTCCTCTCCCCAGAACCGTGCCCTGGGTGGCCCGTCACGGAGAAAGCCATGTGAGAGTGACTTTGAGACCATCAAGCTCATCAGCAACGGGGCCTATGGGTAAGTCCTTAGGTGCTCAGGTGGCTGAGGCCTGGGAGCCCTGGTGTCAGGCTGTGCCTCGTAATCAGGCACAGTGGCACAGGCCTGCCATCCCAGCGCCGGGGAGGGGAGGCAAAGGCAGGATTATCACAAGTTCAAGGTCAGCCTGAACTACACAGAAAGACCCTGTCTCAAAAAGAAGAAAAACTCTTGTCCCTTGTCAGTGAGACTTACAAGGTTCCCCTTGAGATGCGCAGAGGGACACAAGGCTCCAGAAGGAGACAGAGACAGCACAGCCAGGTGCCTGCCTCGTCCCCAAGCCATGCTTAGGAGCAATGGGCGGGGGGGCCTCTGGTTCAAGGTTTCTGGACACAGGTGCATGAAGTCATGTGGAGAAGGGACAGGAGGCAGGGGAGCCCCAGGAGGGGAGGACACTGAAGCTAGGGTTTGAGAGTCTCTGCAACACAGCTGCCAAAGCAGCAGCAGCCAGGGGGCTTTATTTTTTCAGGCTTTAGCTTATCTATGGCTAGAAGCAAATTCGCCAGAGTGCAGAGTTCAGAGGCTCAAGCCGCTACTCAGCCACGTTCCTACCATTCCGATGTGTAGACATTCAAGCTGGCTCCCAGTGGGCCGTGGCAAAGGGTCTCAGCTGGGCGTGCAAGAATAAATGAATGGAGCTGCATGCAGAGGCTCGTGCCTGGGAGCCCACCTGCTTGGGAGGCCGAGACAGGAGGGTCACGAGTGGAGCCTTGGGCAATTCAGTGAGGCCCTGGTTCAAAACAAGCCATACAGACAACCCGGTGTGGCTCAGTGGTGAGCACTTAGGAGCAGGTGGGAGGCCTTGGCTTCCATCCCCAGCACTGGAGAAAGGGTGCAGCCTGGCAGACTGGGTTGGGGTCCAGCTGGGTCCCTGACCTCAGCAACACCCCGTCCCAGGGCCGTGTACCTAGTGCGGCACCGAGACACGCGGCAGCGCTTTGCCATCAAAAAGATCAACAAGCAAAACTTGATGCTGCGGAACCAGATCCAGCAGGTGTTTGTGGAGCGTGACATACTCACGTTCGCAGAGAACCCCTTTGTGGTCAGCATGTTCTGCTCCTTTGAGACCCGGCGCCACCTGTGCATGGTCATGGAGTATGTAGAAGGTACTTGCGCACGTGCGCAATGGAAGCTCGCTCCTCCCTGCTGCAGCGGGGCTGGGGGCTGTGTGTGAAAGGGGCCGTCCTGTCTGGGACAGATGAGGGCCACTGCCTGAGGAGGGCACGAGCTCACCATCTGCCGTCCCCAGGTGGCGACTGCGCCACGCTGCTGAAGAACATGGGTCCGCTGCCCGTGGACATGGCGCGCATGTACTTCGCCGAGACGGTGCTGGCCTTGGAGTACCTGCACAACTACGGCATCGTACATCGCGACCTCAAGCCAGACAAGTGAGGGGGCGGAGCGCCCCCCTCCCGAGGGTGGGGGTGGAGCCTGCCCTCGGTGGGCGGGGCAGGGGTGGAGCTCTGAGGGGTGAGGCTCCGGTGGATTGGGCCGCAGAGCCTGTGGGTGTCGTCTTGTGAGGGTGGGTTTTGGCTGGATGGAAGGGATGGAACACAGACAAGCTGTGGACTTGGGGTAGTGGGGGCTGCGGTCTAGATAACTGGTGGGGGGGCTGAGGGGTGGAGTCAAAACGTCTGTGGTGTGGCCTGGGGCGGGGCCTAGTGGGCTTGGGTGTGGCCTGGGGTTGGCTCTGGAGCCCTGCCTGCCTGTCTAACTGTACCAGCATCCTGGGCTCCTCCAGCAGGGAGGCCGAGGATACAGCCATTGTGGAGGAGGGAGGGAGGCAGGAGGATCGCAAGTTCAAGGCCAGCCCACGTAAATTAGCAAGCTCCTGTGTCAAAATAACATTTTTATAAAGGGCTGGGGTGTAGCTCAGTGACAGAGTCCACGCTTAGCATAAGTGATGCCATAGTTCCATCCTCAGTACCAGCAAATAGTCACCATTCGTTGGCATTATGGGGACTGATGCTGGGGCCCCCACAGATGGCAGATGCCCCAGGTGTGGATCCTTAGTACCTTCTACAAAGTGGTGCAGTGTTGGCATAGATTCTCAGACCAGCCTCCTACTTGGGACCCTCCTGCCTCAGCTTCCTGAATTGCTGGGACTGCATTCATGCCCCCTTGCCTGGCTCAGCCCCTTCTGTCCTATGACCCGTCCCCACCCCTGTGCAGATCACAGCACACAGCGCTGGCCTGGGCGCACGGCCTGTCTGGTATAGCCAGCTCTGGGTGCAGGGGCAGGCAGCGGGTGGCTCGCCCGCCCTGAGGGTCCCTTCTGCCTGCCTCTGCAGCCTGCTCATCACCTCGCTGGGCCACATCAAGCTGACTGACTTCGGGCTGTCCAAGATCGGGCTGATGAGCATGGCCACCAACCTGTACGAGGGCCACATCGAGAAGGATGCTCATGAGTTCGTGGACAAGCAGGTGGGTGGGTGGGCAGGGGCGGCGTGAGCGTGAGGCCCGGGTGCGGGGACACCGGGACAGCGGGCACGACAGCCAGCCCGGGTGACACAGCTGTTGTCCTGGTGCCCAGGAGGCCGAGGGAGGAGGGTTGAAAGCTCCAGATCAGCCTGAACAGCGTAGCAGCTTAGCCAGGCCCTGTCTCAAAGAAAGCGAAGCAGAGAAAATAACACAAGTCAGCCCCTTCGGCTGTCCCCCCTGCTCCCAGCCCAGTCCTCTGCTTTCCTGTCTCCCACCTGGGGCTGCCTGTTTCTCCTTCTGCCCCCAGGTGTGCGGGACCCCTGAGTACATCGCCCCCGAGGTGATCTTCCGCCAGGGCTATGGGAAGCCAGTGGACTGGTGGGCCATGGGCGTCATCCTCTACGAGTTCCTGGTGGGCTGTGTGCCCTTCTTCGGGGACACGCCCGAGGAGCTCTTCGGGCAGGTGGTCAGCGGTGGGTGCCCTGCACAGCCCTGGGCTTGAGCCTCAGCCCTCCCAGTGTTGGGAAGGGTCACCTGCATTGTGCCCTGGGGAGGCAGCCTGCACTGAATCGGGGTTCCGCCCCACCCTCACTCCTGCCCTTGTTTCAGATGAGATCATGTGGCCAGAAGGGGACGAGGCACTTCCGGCTGATGCCCAAGATCTTATTACCAGGCTGCTGCGGCAGAGCCCAATGGATCGTCTGGGCACTGGTACGTAGGTGCCCTCACAGCTTAGGCCCCAGGCATAAAGAGGGAGTAGACCTGGGATTTAAAAAAAAAAAAGCTCTTCAGAAGGTACACGGAGGAGAGAGGTTGGAAGTGGGGTTTTAAAGGATGTATAAGGGGCTGGAGAGATGGCTCAGTGGTCTAAAGCACCTACTTGGAACAAGCTTGGCAAAGCACAGGGACCATGGTTCGATCCCCCAGCACCATATGCCAGCCAGCCCCGCCCACAGGTGGGCTGAACTGGCCACACACACAATAAATAAAATGTAAAAATAAATAAATTAAAAAAAAATTTAAAAAAAAAAAAAAAAGGATGTATAAGAGTTTGCCTAGGGCTGGAGAGATGGCTCAGTGGTCTAAAGCACCTACTTGAAACAAGCTTGGCAAAGCACAGGGACCGCGGTTCAATCCTCCAGCACCACATGCCAGCCAGCCCCGCCCCCTGGTGGGCTGAGCTGGCCACACACACACACAATAAATAGATGTAATAAATAAAAATAAATAAATATTTAAAAAAAATTAATTTAAAAAAAAAAAAAAAAAGAGTTTGCCTAAAACTAGAACAAGACTTTGAAGGAATAGGAGGTAGTTAGGTCTGGGGTCCCCAGAGGACACCAAGGCTGTATAAGTGTGTGGATCTGTGAAGTCACCAGAGTTGTGTCCTGAGGCTTCAAAGGCCCAGTTCAGAAGACCCAACGGTCACTTCCTGCTCTTTGGGCCAAAGAGGAAGCACTGTAGGTACAGGATCTCAGTGTCCTGCTGAAGGAAGGGCAGGGCACTGACTATATGGCTCCCAGGGGGCTTCAGGGGTAGGGACCACAGCGCTCAGCCAGGCATGTCTGCAGGGGGCACCCACGAGGTCAAACAGCACCCCTTCTTCTTGGGCCTGGACTGGGCTGGGCTGCTGCGACACAAAGCCGAGTTCGTCCCGCAGCTGGAGGCTGAGGATGACACCAGCTACTTTGACAGTATGTGGGGCCCCTCAGCAGGCACCGTGTCCTGCAGCCTGGGAACCCCAAACCCCATCCTACCCGGGGCTGGGGCTTCCAGGGCAAGCCCAGCTGGGGTCTCCTGTGAGATGCCAGGTTCAGGGCGAAATAAGGCCCACGGAGGAATCAGAAGTGCACAGAGCTTGGGCCGGGCCCTAGTGGCAGGGTGCAGCAGTTCCTCGTAGCCACCCAGCGCGCGGGTGTGCTGCCACCCCAGGGCCTCTGCCCACCCCGGACGCAGGGCCCCCGGGGCCCCGGGCTCAGGTGCCTCCCCGCCCGCAGCACGCTCAGAACGCTACCGCCACCTGGGCTCGGAGGACGACGAGACCAACGACGAAGAGTCGTCCACCGAGATCCCGCAGTTCTCATCCTGCTCTCACCGCTTCAGCAAGGTGCGCGCTGCCGCCGGCCCGGCGGGCGGGCGGGGCGCTGCGCGCGGCGGGGACGCCAGCGCCCCCTGCAGTTCGCTCGGAGCGGACCGTTTTAGCCGCGTTCTGGGTTTTCCCTTTCTTTGAGATAGGTTCTTGCTCTGCAGTGCAGTATGACCTAAAGTACTTGGCGATCCTCCTGCTTCAGCCTCCCGAGGTTGGGCTGATGGGTGCGCCCCCATCCCAGTCCTGTTGTTTTGTCATCACGCTCCAGGTCTACAGCAGCTCTGAGTTTCTGGCCGTGCAGCCCACCCCCACCTTTGCTGAGAGGAGCTTCAGTGTGGACCGGGAGGAGGGGTGGGAACGCAGCAGTGACGGGGACAGTGGCCTCCGGCTGAGCACTGAGGTCCGGTAGGTGCCTGGGACAAAGGCCCATCAATTTTCCCAGTCTCCTGGGAGGTGAACCCGGTAGAGAAGGGTCAGACCGGCCAGACTGTCAGGCCCCCTATGACTTCGCTGCTTTGAGCATCATATTACTGACTGTGGCAAACATGAAGCCGCTAATAAAACTTCTGTTCATCCTTCAAAACCCACAGCCATCCCCCTAGAGGACATCAGTTAGAAGGTGGGTTTTGAAGGTTGCATAGGAGTTCTCCAGAACTCTGCCTATATTTGACCCTCACGACCAAGCATTCAACACAGGCTGCTCCTCCCTACAGGTTGAGGTCCTGCACGTCCTCTGGGTCCTCCTGTCATTCGTCATCATCTCAGCCTGAGAGAGGCCCCAGCCCATCGCTTCTGAACAACATCAGCCTAGACATGCCCAAATTTGCCTTCTCGTCAGAGGATGAGGGAGCGGGCCTAGCCCATGTGGACCCCAAAAAGCCTATCTTCATCCTGGGGGAGCCTGAACCCCCACCACAGACCACCCTAGTAACACCCAAACCCTCAAACCTTTCTGGTAGGTGGGGCCCACGGTGAGAAGAGTAGCTTTACAGAAAGTTTCCCAGAGAAGGGATTATTTGAGAAGGGTGTTGAAGGATGAGTAGGAGTTCTCTGAAGCTAACAAAAACTTTAAAATGGCTGCAGAGAGACCATAAGCTCCTGAGGAACCTCAGTCAAGGGGTAACACCTCCAAGAGAGGCTGGGGTTGGGTTAGCCCCAATAAGACCCAAGGGTCCAATAGGGGCATAGGAGGCAGCCTCTCAAAGGAAAGGACTTGAACGGCTGGGAAAGGGTGTGAGGGGAGCAGGCTCTGATGAAGAAAGGCCAGGAGTCCAGGTGTGCAGGTAGAACCCAAGAAGGCCAGCAGGGACAGCTGGGGGGAGAGGGAACCCACTGACCCCACTGCCCACAGCTGACGCGGCAGCCCTCAGCCACGCACGTCTCCGGAGCAACAGCACTGGTGCCCGGCACTCCACACCCCGAGCCCTGGATGCTGGTCTGGGCCGCCGACTCGGAGCAACCAGAGAACCCGCCAGCGACAAGCCCAGGGCCACCCCCGGCGGGGGCAGCGGCAGCGGCGGCAGTGGGGGCCGAGTGCCCAAGTCGGCGTCAGTATCAGCCCTGTCCCTCATCATCACCGCAGGTGCCAGTGCGGTAGACCGGAGTGGGGACAGGGAGCAGGGACCGCAGAACTGCAGGGGTCCTGGGACCCAGCAGTGGCCGCGAGGGAGGGAGGGCAGGTGGCTACCGGGCGCCGCTGACTGCCCCTCGCTGCTTGTCCGCAGACGACGGCAGTGGCTGCCCCCTCATGAGCCCGCTGTCACCGCGTTCGTTGTCCTCCAACCCATCCTCGCGCGACTCTTCGCCAAGTCGGGACCCGTCGCCCGTGTGCGGGAGCCTGCAGCCCGCAGTGGTCATCCACAGCTCGGGCAAAAAGTACGGTTTCAGCCTGCGCGCGATCCGCGTCTACATGGGCGACAGCAACGTCTACGCCGTGCACCATGTCGTCTGGGTGGGTTCAGCACACTTCCTTCTTGGGGTACATGGGGGGCTCCTGGCCGTGGGGAACCGGGTGGTCCGGAGCCACCGGGCTCTTCTCCGGAATCCGTGCCGCCTGGGGGTGCTCTGCACACTGCGCACCCCGGATCTGCCCCCTGGTTCAGGGAAGCTGAGGCGCGGCACGACCCCGCCCAGGTGGGTGCCCCGAATTTAGGTCTCAGACTCCTGCCCGGCTGTGTCCTCCAGAGCGTGGAAGAGGGGAGCCCCGCACAGGAGGCTGGGTTGCGCGCCGGGGACCTCGTCACGCACATCAACGGCGAGTCGGTGCTGGGCCTGGTGCACCGGGACGTGGTGGAGCTGCTGCTGAAGGTCGGCGGGGTGGGGCGGGACCCCCTCGGGCCACGACCCCTGCCCCCACGCCCCCTGCCCGCACGCCCCCTGCCCGGCCTCACCTCCAGTTCAGGCCGTACTCCCGGTAGGGTTGGGACCCCCTTGGGGCTGGGACCTGGACACCATCTTTACCTGCTGTGTACCAGAGGTCCCAGGCAGGGGTCGAAGTCCCGGGCTTGGAAGAGGTCCAGGAGCCCTAGGTCCTGCGGGTGGGGGCCGAGGCCCAGCACTCGCACTGGTGTGTCGGTGGTGGTCCGCCGTCCAGTGCCCCGCAGCGTGCGCCTAGGTTGAGGAGCTCCTACAGGGACGCGGACGAGGCAGGGGCAGATAGGGGGTGGAGGGGGCTGGGGGTGGCTGGGAGCAGGCTCCAGGCCCTGGTTCCAGTCCTGCACTCCCCAACCAAAATCACTGAGGTGGGAGTGCACGCCTGTTGTCCTAGCACTGGGGAGGATGAGGCAGGAGGATCGCTGCAGGTTTGAGGCCAGCCTGAACTGCACAGGGAGACCCTGTCTCAGTGGATAAATACAAGGGCCAGGGTACAGCTCAGTGTGAGGCAGAGGGTGTGGCGTTAGCAGCTATGACGCAGGCAGAGTGGGGACACCATCAGCTCGCCCTCCCTCGCAGAGCGGAAATAAGATCTCCCTTCGCACCACGGCGCTGGAGAACACAACCATTAGGGTGGGCCCAGCGCGAAAGGACGCGGGGAAAGGGCGCATGGCGCGCCGCAGCAAGCGCAGCCGGCGGAGGGAGACACAGGACCGGTGAGCAGCCTCAGGTCTGGGTGGCCAGGGTCACGGAGTGGGTGGCGCTGACTGTGTTCCTCCATCCGCAGGCGGAAGTCTTTGTTCAAGAAGATCTCGAAGCAGTCGTCTGTCTTGCACACAAGCCGAAGCTTCTCCTCCGGCCTCCACCACTCACTGTCCTCCAGTGAGAGCCTGCCAGGGTCCCCCACCCACAGTCTGTCACCTAGCCCCACCACACCCTGCCGCAGCCCTGCGCCCGATGGCAGCACCAACACAGGTGCCCAAATTGTGGGAGTATAGGATAGTGAGAATGGGGGACAGGAAGAAGAGGGTGAAAGAAGTGGGGCTTTGATGGATAAGTAGGAGTTTGATGCATCTAGACCAAAGGAATGCCCACCGTGAGTGGGGCAAGTTTGGTCAGTCCTGGTACCCAACCCCAGCATCCCTGACCTGCACCTGCCATTCACAGATACCGCGTCCCCGCCCAGCGTGTCCCCAAGCTCCAGCAGTCCTGCATCCCCAGCCACTGCCTGCCACGCCCGTCCCAGCTCCCTGCACGGCCTGGCGGCCAAGCTGGGGCCACCCCGGCACAAGGGCGGGCGCCGCAAGTCCACCAGCAGCATCCCACCCTCACCGCTGGCCTGCCCTCCTGTGCCTGCCCCACCACCACGCTCACCGTCACCCCTGCCGGGCCACACGCCTGGGCCTGCCCGGTCCCCTCGCCTGCGCCGTGGACAGTCAGCTGACAAGCTGGGCACGAGTGAGCGGCCCGACTCTGAGCTGGTGATCATGCGGCGGCTGCACCTGTCCGAGCGCCGCGACTCCTTCAAGAAGCAGGAGGCGGTACAGGAGGTGAGCTTTGACGACGAGGCCCCCGGCACGGCGCCTGTCCCCACGCCTGTGCCCGTGCCACAGATCGCTGTGCAAGGCGCTGAGCCTGCAGCTGCCAGCAACGACTGAGCCCAGCCGGGGCCGCGGCCACCAGCTCCCAACGCACAGTCACAGGGCAGGGGGTCAGTCTGCAGTACCAGAGGACAAGCCAATGGCGTCCCTCCCTCAGATGTCCTCTGTGCACAGTGGATGGCCAAGATCGGCCAGGCTGGGCTCGGGCGGCATTGTAAATAGCAAATCCCGCCACTAATTTATTACTTTTTCTAAGCAATAGCCGGGCTGCACCGTCCTGCAGGTGGCTTCTGGGCCCTCAGCCTGCAAAGCCCGCCAGGGTTGGGAAGCAAGCGCTTTGGACCGCGTCTGTGTGCGTGTTCTCTCCCCACCCTTCTAAAGTTCTGGTGTGCATTTGGTACCTGATCCCATTCCTGACCCAAGACCGAGCCTACGTGTCCAGGCCTAGTTTGGCTTTGACTTGCAAACTCCACAAACGATATCCCTCCCCTCCAAGCCATGACGCTGGAATCTGAAGATGACATCCCACTGTCCCAGCTGCTGTCCTTACTACACTCTGACTCCAGTGCTTCAGGCTTCTGCCTGGGAAAAGGGTATAGCAGCTGGGGTTTTGATGGAAAAGTAGGAGTTCACTGATGTAGGCAATGAGGCACAGATGCCCTGCGTGGTGTCAGCCTGGCCTAGCAAGGTACTGCTGAGGGGAGAGGAGAATGGCCCACCCATCGTGTGTCCAGGGAGGGCCCTCTGTGTGTCCTGCCTCCCTGAGGTGGATGTGCGCTAAGGAGGTGCGCAGGCAAGGAGGCCCGGGTTTGATTTTCAGCTTCACTGTGTGGCTCTGGGAAGATGTCTTTCCCACTCTGTGCCTCAGTTTCCTCGTGTTTACAGGACTAATCCCAGCGATTACGCATTAAGCGCCTGCTGTGTGTGCTAAGCGCTTTGCTCATGGCTCTTTCCTGGGACAGCATTGAGAAAGCCCAGAGCTGGCATCCTTGTTGCCCCTGCAGCTCAGGAGGCAGAGGCCCGGCCAAGGTCTGGGTTGGTCCCTCCCACTGCCCTGCAAGAGGTGCCGGGAGGGAAGCACCGACCACGCCCACCGTGGGCGCGGACCTAGCCTCAGCCAGTGGGCATGTGTGCAGACCCTGGCCCTGCTTCTTCCCAGGAGGTTCCGTCCCCCCCCCCCCCCCCGTGGAGGCAGGGAGCTCTGCTGGCACTGCGTCCTTCCAGAGCCTCCGGCCAGCCCCGCTGGGGCTTGCAGGGTGAAATAAGCCTGTGCATGAATTGCCCCTCCTTCCATCCTGGAGCTGGCAGCGAATAAAAGCCCACATTTACAAAGAGGCCTACTGTCTACATTTGTGGGAAAGGGGGCGTGGGAGTGGGGTGAAAACAATCTCTTAGCTCAAAGGCATTGTATGTGGGTTTTGAAGCCTGCATAGGAGTTCGCCGTTGCGATTTTCCCCGACAACAAAGGAAGCTGCCTTTGCCGTACCAGTACCCATGTGGACTACTACCCATCAGGTTTATTAAAACCAGGTGCGCCTGTAGCCCCAACTATCTGGGAGGCTGCAGCCCAGGAGTTAGCGACCAGCCTAAACAGGGTGAAACACAGTCTCAAGAAAAAAGAATGAAAAACTTCATTCAGTCACCAGTCTGGAGCCCTGAGCTACGTTAATTAACAAAGGACACCACATTTGCATCGTTATGGTCGCGGTTTGTGCTGGAGCGCTGCCAGGCAGAACGTGCGCCGAGCCGAGCTCAGCCGAGCGCCCTCGGCTACGTCCGGAGCTCGCCGCCGCTCCGAACACCTGTGGCCACGCCCCCACTCGAGCTCCAGCTGTCCTGCAACAAAAGTGCCTCTGGGTTCCAGTAGGCCACCTCACGCAGGCGGCACCCAATCACTCGGCTTGTTCCGGACGCTCGGGGTTGCCATGGAAACACGTTTAACTAGGCCCTCACTAGCACTGGTTCGGCTGTTGCCGTGGCAAGCGCCTTCCCTTTTTCTCCCCTCTTCTTCACTGCGCCTGAAGGTGCCTCAGCCCCCCTCTGGAACTCTCCCTGGTCGGGCAATTTCCGGAACCCCCGGCGGGCTCTGGGTCCAAAAACGTCTAGGGCCTCCATTTGGAGCAGAGCTCTCTCGGATCCTTTCAACAACGATCGCCGTCTCCCGCCAGTCCTTGTAGGGCACGTTCGGCCATTTCCAGTATCATTTGACCATTGGGTCCAGCCGAGTCCAACCGGATCGTTCACTCGACCCGATTGCGCTCGGCTCTTTCCGGGAATGCTCGGAGGTCTCGTGGCAATCGCCAGCCGGCCAGTCCCGCGGGAGTATGTTCGGTTCTTTCCGGAAACTCTCGGCGTTCTCCCCTCCCACCCGCCTCTAGACTTTATCTCCGCCTCGTTTCACCCGCGTAGGCCGAATGCGTTCGGCAATTTCCGCCGGGGGCGGGCCCGACCGCTCGGAACCGCGGCGGCGGCTACTGACGCGGGGATCCCGCGGCTTGCGGCGACTGCGGCCGCTGTGGAGCCACGGGGCGGGCTCGGCTCGGCGTGACGGCAGCTGTGGCCAGGTGAGTCGGGTCTGGCCGTGTGGCAGGCGGGGCTGGAGCGCGCGTGAGCCCACGGCGCCCGGCCGGGGTGCGGGGCCAGGGCCGCGGGAACCCGGACCAAGGGAAGACGGCTGGGCCCAGGGCGGGCGCCGGGCCGGGACATCGTGGGGCCCGTGCCGCGACCAGAGAGGCTCTGCGCGGGCTTACGCCGCGTGCTCCGACATCGTGTGCAGCATTTCGGTTTGCGGGGGTCTGGACGCCCCACTTCCGGCCTCCCGGCAGAGCGCGGGGTCCACGCGAGCCGGAGCAAGCTTGTGCATGAGCAGCAGGCCTACGCCCCCCCCCCCGGCCCAGATCCCCAGCTTCTGGATCGGGGTGCATTGCTTTCTCGACATGTGCAGACCTGTGCAGGCGGGGGCGAGCAGGGCCTCTGCGCTCTCCCAAGTGTCGCCGCACCCAGCCTCAGTTTCCCCACCTGTAGAATGTACAGCACCAGGGTCAGGGGACAAGCACATGAATGGAGCTCCAGCCCCTCTGCGGGTGGCTCCCTTCCTGAGGCCCCCGGGCTGCAGCCTCCCTCCCAGTCCTGGGCCAGGACGCAGCCCCCACCCCGCTGAGCCTCAGGGACACAAAACCTGCAGGGCTGGCCCTGGGAACGTGGGAGCCCTTCCCTCGCCAGGCCCCGGACCTGGGAACCTCACCCTGCCTCTGTGCCCTGTCTTGTCCCGCCTGGGGTCCCCTCGGGCTTTTCCCACACCTCTCCTCCACTTCTGCAAGTAAGTGAGCCAGGCTGGGCCGCTCAGGCTGACCTGAGGTCCCTTTCTTTGCCTGAAGCCACATTCCTTTATTCCTTGTAGTGCCCCTCACTGCACAGCGCGCTCCCTAGATACCCAGAGAATCCATCCTTTTGCCCCCCCACACACACACAGTTTAATTTTTTTTTTTATTTATGTGTGTGTGTGTGTGTGTGTGTGTGGCCAGCTCAACCCACCAGGGGGTGGGGCTGGCTGGCATGTGGTGCTGGGGGATGGAACCGTGGTCCCTGTGCTTTGCCAAGCTCGTTCCAAGTAGGTGCTTTAGACCACTGAGCCATCTCGCCAGCCCAGCACACACACAGTTTAATTGGCCAGGTCTCTGCTACCTCCTGACATCTCTCTGGGCCTTGGAGCTGGGTGGATCTGGGTTCCACGCCCGATTTCTTCCTGTCCTGGTTGATGCTCCCTGCTCCAAGTCTTTGCCCCATTTCCATCAGGGCCAATAAACAGCTGGCTTACCAACCGTGCAGTGTATCCAGGACAGGTTCCCAGGGAAGGCTGAGGTGCCCATTGTACAGCTGAGAAAACTGAGCCCCACAGAGTGGCAGGCACTGGCCCAGACTTCATCACACCACGCAGGGGTCTCTGGCCAGGCATACGAACTCTCTCCATGCTGAGGGTGAGAGAAGCCAGGCTTCCTGATACTGTCCTCCTCTTGTAGGTTGGCGTCCCTGGCAGAGCATGAGAGCAGCCCTCACTCTCGGCTCCCTCTTGTGGCACAGCTGGAAGAGCTGGCAACCCAGGGTGCTGATGGCCCTGCACCAGCATTGGATGGCAAACGCAGTGGCCAAGTGAGCTGGCGTCGAGCACCAGCCCCCTTCCACCAGCTGGCGAATGCTAGACAAGTGACACTCGACAGTCTTCACCATCCTGGGATAATGGCCAGAAGCCAGGCATGAGCGGCCCCCGTGGTCGCCTGTGACTTAACCCTGCAGAGAGGTCTGAGCCCCCCGGCCCCACAGTCGAGCCTCCCACCCCAACCCTGGCCCATGGGGCCCGGGGGGCCCCGAGCCACCGCCTGACAGTGACTGAGCAGCCCTTGGCAGCAGCATGGCGGGTGCAGAGGGCTTCCAGTACCGCGCGCTGTACCCGTTCCGGCGCGAGCGGCCCGAGGACCTGGAGCTGCTGCCCGGTGACATGCTGGTTGTGAGCCGTGCAGCCCTGCAGGCTCTGGGTGTGGCGGAGGGTGGAGAGCGCTGCCCCCAGAGTGTGGGCTGGATGCCCGGCTTCAACGAGCGCACACGACAGCGGGGTGACTTCCCGGGTACCTATGTGGAGTTCCTGGGGCCCGTGGCCCTGGCCCGGCCTGGCCCGCGGCCCCGGGGCCCCCGCCCACTGCCCGCCAGGCCCCGAGATGAGCCCCCGGAGCCAGGTGAGCATGCAGAGGCCTCCCAGCCTCTGTCCCACTTCCTGCAGGGACACCCATCTGTCCTCAGATGTCTGCCTGGGGACACTGCTGTTGTGGGTGGAGCTGGGCACGGATGCCAGGCAGGCCTGGCCCTGCCCTCACAGTGCCCACACTTGGATTTGACAAGAGTGTGACGATTCAGTGACAGATGCAGTAAGGAGGGGTTGCCAAGGGCGGGCGCAGGCTCCTTGTGGCCTCTAGCTGGAACAAGGAAAGGGCGAGCAGCTGAACCACGCTGAAGGCCCCAGGGCCTAGTGTGGTGTCTGTGGGGTCCTGACGTGGTCTGCAGAGGGTGCTCCCCGCAGAACCTCCTTGGTATCAAATTCCCTCCAAAGTGAGGGTTAGGCCTGGGGACCTGCATGGCCTCTTCGGAAGAAGACAAGTTATGGGGTGCTGGCATCTGCTAAAATCACTGCATTCTGGGTAAGGGGGTGGATTCATCCAGGGAAACTGAGGCTTAGGCTATAGGGAAGACCAACCCAGTCAGATGAGGCAGGAGATGGGGGCATTGCCGGAGATGTAGGCCCACGTGGTGCCCAAGCTACAGGGCCAGAGGTGCAGCCAAGGTAAAAGCTGGGGGCCCCAGGGGTGCTGGCCCAGGCCTAGCAGCATCTGGTATCTCAAGTTGTCCTCCCTGCTGGGCTGCAGGAGCAGGAGGCGGCTCCAGCCGGGCGCCCATCCAAAATCTGCCACCATCCCAATGCCAGCACCGCCCTCCCTGCCTGGCCGGGCCCCAGGGCTGCTCAGCTCCGCCGGGCCCCAGGGCTGCTCAGCTCCACCTGCAGCTCCCAGGCCTGTGGCCTTGCTTTCTCTATCCAGATGACAACCTGTCCCTGCATGGCCTCCAGCCGCACTTTGCAGGATGATGGGACCCCCCGGCCCAAGGCATCCAGGCCCTGAGCAAGGAGCCCAGCAGAAGGCTAGCATCTGAGGCTCTGGCTGGCTGTGTTTGGGGCTCCTGTCTGTGACAGGCTTCCCCCTTCATGCACCCCCCACCTAGCTTTTCAGCTTGATCCCCCGCAGCATCCAGGATCCTGCAGCCAGGATGGCACCCACCTCCTCCTCTGTGCTGAGCTCCCGCGGCTGCGTGCACCTGGCCCATCACTCAGGGAAATGCAGGCCCAGGCTTGTCCCTGCCAGGTGCGAGGCTGTCCCCACAGGCGGCCAGGCCCACAGGTGTGGGGCTGACAGGACACAACGGCCTGAGGCTGGGTCTCCTGGCTCCTGCTCCAAGGGCTTCCAGTGTCTTCAGAGGGGAGAAGTCATTTTGAGAAGGAAAGTTAGGAAATGGAAGAAGGATCCCTGCAGAAAGCCACCCAGGGTCAGACCAGACTGTTTCCTTTCAGCCCTTTTCAGCCCTTCTTCTGTTTGCCTCAAGAGTCTAGGCACAGGAGGTAGGCATGGTGATGCACTCCTAGAATCCCAGCACATGGGGAGGCTGAGGTAGGACGGTTCCAACTTTGAGCCTATCCTGGGCACCTTAGCAAGATCCTGTCTCAATAACAGGGCTGGGTGTAGAGTGCAGTTTGTTGGCCTGAGGGCTAGAAGCGTGGCTTCCTGGAGCCCCTGGGCTTCAGTGGTCCCCAGCACGCCCACAGGATAGGACTACACCATCTTAGCATTTTTCCCTTGAAGAAGCTGGCCCAGAAAGGGTGGGTCCTGTGTCCAGGCTGCACAGTGGCTCTGCCAGGGGCTGGAACCTGTTATGTGGGTTTCAGTGCTGCTCTATAGAAGACCCGCAAATCGGGTGATCTCAAAACAATAAAAATGCAGTGTCGCCTTTCTGAGTTCAGGGTTCAGGACCCGCAGGGCAGGAAGCCCCTTGCTTCTGCAGGCTCCTGAGATCTCCAGGTGGGGGCACCAGCTCAGTCTGGTCTCTGCTGTGGCCCAGTGGCCTCAGGGAAGACGCCGGTCACGGGACTAGCAGCTCCTTGGGCCAGGACAGCTCACTGTGGAACCTTTGCCTTAGTTCCTTCCACCTGCAGAGAGCCTTTTTCCTGATAAGGTCAGGTACCAGCAGGCAAGACAGGGACCTATCTTTGGGCAGCTTCTGTCCAGTCCCACGATGCCCAGTCCCTGACACCATGTGAATTCCTGGTGTTTCACCCCAGAAATTGTCTCCTGTGAATTCAGGCCTCACGCTCCCTGACCTGCCTGAGCAGTTTGCCCCTCCTGATGTGGCGCCCCCTATCCTGGTGAAGCTGGTCGAGGCCATAGAGCTTACAGGTGAGCTCAGCCTGGCTGTGACCCCCACAGGGCAGCTCATCCCCACCCCCAGGCTGGCTGGCTGCCTGTGCCCTGCAGGGGCTGGGTCTGAAGGCCTCAGTGTTCAGTAGGGGACCAGGACCCCTGGGACACTGGGAGGGGTAGGCCCTGCAGGGGTGGCTCACCCTAGACTGATGTGCCTGTTGCCCCTAGGGCTGGATGCTGAGTCCCACTGCAGGCCCGAGCTGCCCGCATCACGCACAGGTGAGGGGTCCTCTGGGTGGGGACAGGGCAGCGGGGCACATCAACACCGTAGGCAGCTATAACGTGTCCACCCTGCGCAGACTGGTCGCTAAGTGACCTGGACCAGTGGGACTCCGACGCCCTGTCCGATGCCATCAAGAGCTTCCTGCTGGCTTTGCCAGTGCCACTTGTGACCCCTGAGGCCGCTGCCGAGGCTCACCGGGCCCTGCGGGGTGAGCTAGGGACACGGGTAGCTGGGGGGGGGTCCTTGCGGGCTTCTGCCCAGCTCACCCACTGACTCGTCCACAGATGCCCCCCGGGGGCCCGTGGGGCCGGCGCTGGAGCCCCCGATGCTACCACTGCACCGCGCGCTCACACTGCGCTTCCTGCTGCAGCACCTGGGCCGGGCAGCCCGCCGTAGCTCTGCCCCCGGCCCAGCCATCCGTGCCCTGGCCTCGGCCTTTGGGCCGCTGCTGCTGCGTGCACCGCTGGCTTCACAGCCGCCAGGGGGCGCCCTGCCCGAAGGGTGAGTGGAGACGGCATGGGGTTTCTAGGGCGGTGAGGCGGGGCTTTGCCTGGTGGGTGGTGCTGGTGTGGAGTAGAGGCCGAGCTGGCCCTGCAGGGGGAGAGGACAGGAATCAGCATGGGCAGGGGCTGAAGTGCTCAGCAGTCGTGGCGGCATGTGCCTGCCACTGACCCTCTTGACTGCACGCTCCCGACCCCGGGGTTTGTGGCCCTCTGCCTGCGTGTTCAGGAAGCATCTTCTACATACACCTACACTGCACGCCCAGATGTCCCCCGCCTTCTCCCTGTGCACAAGTACAGCAGCCCTGCCCAGTGGTCACCCCTCCTCCTCCAGGACTGAACCCAGCCCAGACTTCCCGGCCATGCTGGTGGAGAAGCTACTGCAGGAACAGCTGGAGGAGCAGGAGGCGGCACCCCCAGGTGACCCATACTGTCCCGTCTTGAGTGCCAACTACCTGGCATTACCATGTCTGCAGCCCTATTTTGCATTAGGAAGCAGCCTCGATACACAGCTAATGCCTAACGTGTGCTGTGTCCCCGTCCCCCAGCCCTGCCGCCAAAGCCCCCCAAGGCGAAGCCGGCAGCCCCAGTCCTGGCCAACGGGGGCAGCCCACCCTCTCTGCAGGAAGCAGAGTGGTACTGGGGTGACATCTCCAGGTAAGGTCGGCCCGGCGAGTGGGCGTGGGTCTGGAGGGCGGTGGCGGCGGCTCAGTGCACTGTCCCCACAGGGAGGAGGTAAACGAGAAACTCCGTGACACACCTGATGGCACCTTCTTGGTCCGGGACGCATCCAGCAAGATCCAGGGGGAGTACACTCTGACCCTGAGGTGGGCCTGTGGGGCCGGCAGGGCGGGGGCGGGCGGGTAGGTGGGCGTGCGGACAGGCCCCCACACTGCGCCCCTCCAGGAAGGGCGGCAACAACAAGCTCATCAAGGTCTTCCACCGCGACGGCCACTACGGTTTCTCCGAGCCGCTCACCTTCCGCTCCGTGGTGGACCTCATCATGCATTACCGCCACGAGTCGCTGGCCCAGTACAACGCCAAGCTGGACACGCGGCTGCTCTACCCCGTGTCACGGCTGCAGCAGGACCAGGTGGTCAAGGAGGACAGCGTGGAAGCCGTGGGGGCCCAGCTCAAGGTCTACCACCAGCAGTACCAGGACAAGAGCCGAGAGTATGACCAGCTCTACGAGGAGTACACTCGCACCTCACAGGTGGGGGCCACCGGGGAAACCGAGGCATGGCCTGTGAGCCCACGTGCACAACTATGCTTGATTGCGTTTGGTACCCCTGGCTGGCACTGGGGTGGATCCCAGAGCCCTGCCTCTGAGCTGCATCCCAGTGCTTGGTAGCTTTACAGCTGGGTGTGGTAGGGCACCCCTGTCTTCCCAGCACTCGGGAGGCGGAGGCAGGAAGACTATGAATTTGAAACCAGCCTGGCTACACAGTAGTGAGCTGAAGGCCAGCCTGAGTGACATAGCAAGATCCTGTCTTGAAGGAAAAACAAAAAGCCAGGTGCAGAGTTGCCCTGCTGTAGTCACAGAATCACAGCCACCGAGGCTGAGGCCAAAGGATCCGACGTGTGCGCCCAGCCTGGGCCACTTGGTGACTTGGCAAGGCCCTATCTGAAGTTCCAGGCGCAGGGTGGGGATGCAGCTCGGCGCACAGGCGCTAGGTTGAGTTTCCAGTCCTCGAGAGAACAACCCAGAGGGAACACTGTCCTCAGAAGAGAGCTAGGCTCCCGGAGCCTCAGTTTCTCCAAAGACGATTGTAACTGCACTGAGGTTCTAGGGAGACGCCATGAGATAATGCAGGAGAAGTTAGAAATATCCCCGCGGGCTGCAGCAAGGAGACCCAGCGTCACTTTCTTGTCCTCACGGAAGGTGCAAAGGGAAGGGACGGGGTGGGGCTTTGAAGACTAGGAGTTCAGGCCACCAGCAGGCATAAGGAAGCAAGGCTCCTGGCGGGCGGAGGGCGCCATGGCTGTGGCCCGCGCCTTCCCAGGAGCTGCAGATGAAGCGCACGGCGATCGAGGCCTTCAACGAGACAATCAAGATCTTCGAGGAGCAGGGCCAGACCCAGGAGCGGTGCAGCAAGGAGTATCTGGAGCGCTTCCGGCGCGAGGGCAACGAGAAGGAGATGCAGAGGTGAGGGGCGCGGGTGGGTGGGTGCAGCGCCCTCCAGGAAGGCGGTGGGCGGAGGCTGTGCTCTCCCTGGCGCCCTCAGGCCGGCAGAAGGGGCTGTGGAGGCCAGAAGGCAGGGAGGGGCGGCAGCAGCGATTGACGTCCCTGAGCGGCCCCTCCCCCAGGATCCTGCTCAACTCTGAAAAGCTTAAGTCCCGCATCGCGGAGATCCACGAGAGCCGCACAAAGCTGGAGCAGGACCTGCGGGCCCAGGCCCTGGACAACCGCGAGATCGACAAGCGCATGAACAGCCTCAAGCCCGACCTCCTGCAGCTGCGCAAGATCCGCGACCAGTACCTCCTGTGAGTGCCGCGCTCTCCTGTAGGGGGCGCCCCAGCCGCCGGCCCCGCTCCCGCCTGGCTGCGAGAGGCCGCGGCAGGTAGTTTGGCCTGGGCAATTTAGACCCTGTCTCAAAATAAAAGCTGCTGGGGTGCAGCTTAATTCCTGCCTCTGCCGCCCTTGGGGGGCCTCCCTGCGGTGATACCCGGAGGAGCCGGCCTTGCCTCCCTCTGCATTTCAGCACAGGATAAAACAGCCAAAGCTCACCGTTCTGCTTCCTCCCAGGTGGCTCACCCAGAAAGGTACCCGGCAGAAGAAGATCAATGAGTGGCTGGGGATCAAAAACGAGACTGAGGAGTGAGTGGTCCCCTACCAGGGCACAGGCGGTGCTTGTTAGAGGGGGGCCATATGGGTGGGTTTTGAAGGATGACTAGGAGTTCTCCAGTAGTATTGCTAGCTGAGGAGTGAAGTGAGCAGGACCTTTCCCCACCTTCCCTGTAGCCACTACTCACTGATGGACGACGAGGAAGACCTCCCCCACCACGAGGAGCGCACCTGGTATGTGGGCAAGATCAACCGCACACAGGCCGAGGGCATGCTGAGCGGCAAGAGGGATGGCACGTTCCTCATCCGGGAGAGCAGCCAGCGCGGCTGCTACGCCTGCTCCGTGGTGTGAGTGCGCTCACCGGCGACTGTCCCCGCGGCCACCCTGCCAGCCGGGCTGGGGGGAAGGGAGGCCCGCTGATCCCGCCCTGTCCCTCGGCCCACAGGGTGGATGGGGACACCAAGCACTGCGTCATCTACCGCACCGCCACCGGCTTTGGCTTCGCGGAGCCCTACAACCTGTACGGGTCCCTGAAGGAGCTGGTTCTGCACTACCAGCACGCGTCCCTGGTGCAGCACAACGACGCCCTCACCGTCACCCTCGCGCACCCTGTGCGCGCGCCCGGGCCGGGCCCGCCGCCCCCGCCCGCTGCCCGCTGACCGCCCGGCCTGCCTGCTGGGTCCCCTGTCCCCTCTGCCTTCCCCCACAGGTCCCGGGCCCCCACTCCGAAGCCATAGATCTGGGGTCAGGCGGGAAGCGACTCGGGCCGGGCAGGTCCCGCCCCGCGCGCCCCAACTTCCCCTCCAGCACCGCCCGAGCGAAACAGGGCCGGGCCTAGAAGCAGAAGAACCCAAAATACCCTCGGGGCCCTGCCCGCAGCCTCCGGGGACACTGCCCGACCGCCGCCAGGGTTGGGGCACGAGCTCTGCCATCAGTTTCTATCATGTCAAACTCTCTCCTCTTTTGGGACTAGGAGCCCGCTTTTCTAACACTGCCCTGAGCCCAGGCCGTCTGTCCGGCCAGGTTTTGTACGGTACGTTGTTCTCGCTACGACATAAAACTGACCAAGGTGGCCGCGTGTTTTTGGGACCTGAGGTGGGGCAGACAGCACCGCCAGTCTCAGAGGCTGCCTCAGAGTGACAGTGCCCAGCTGTCACGGCCAGACAGCCTGGCCCTCCACTCCCCGAGGGCGCCCCAGCCCTGCCCTGGCCGCCTGCCGTCCAGCCCCCCGCGCGGTGCCGGTTGCGCCCTGGACCCGGGGCGCACACTGAGCCCCTTCCCGGCCTGCTTTGCTGAGGACGTGGTACTGCACTCGAGCTCGGACCTCCCATTGGTCACTGAGACCGCCTTGCCACATGCCCAGGCTGGGCTCCCGGCCCCTGTCGTTCTCCCGCCACACCTCCCGGAGCGCTGGGAACAGCGCGTGCCCCCCAGGCCTCTGACCTGGACTCCCCCGTCGCCCCGTCCTGCTACTCGGCCCTTGCACCCCAGCTGGGGCCGCTGCCCCCTGTATGTTGTTGGGTGGTTATCTCGGTCCGCCCCGCCTCCTAGTGCTGCCTCGAGCAGCTTCCCCACCACAGTCCCCTTCGGGCGTTCTGTGAAGCTGGGGCACGATCATAAGTTCCAGTCTGGCCTGGGAAGCCTGGGGAGATCCCGTCTCAAACTAAAAACTGACGTGAGCGCTGAAGAAAGTGAAGGCCCTGGGTTCCCCGCGGTGCCCCGAAAAAGACGGGCACTAGGGAGGGAGGGGGAACCTGGAGGGATGTAGCCCCCGCGGCTGCGTTCGCGTGAGGCTCGGCCCGCCGGAAGAGGCCAAAGGAAGAAGTGGGGTGAGGCAGGCGGGACTCAGGGACGCAGCTGGCATCTGGGCGCTGACCCGCATCCCCGTCGGAAGTGGCTCGTGGCCCTGCGCCCTCCCCTTGTTGGTTCCCCCGAAAAGTCCGGGCCTCCGTGGCCACCGCCCTCAGTAACCAGACAGTGGCCAGGCCAGCGGCCACCTGCGCGCTCCACCCTTGTCTGCTTCTGCTTTCGGGTCCAGCTGGGACCCCGCCTAGCCTGGCCGCAGCAGGGGGTCATCCCGGGTGGGGTCGCAATGGGGGGAGGACCCAGCCCCGACATGCAGGGTGCACACTAGAGCGGGGTGGGGGGGTCTGACCCCGCCGTCCCAGTCCCGCGCAGCCCCAGTCTCCTTAGCTCGAAACACCCGCGAGACGCAGGAGTCGGTGACCCCGGGGCACGTGACTAGGGCGCAGCTAGGGCGGGGCCAAGGACTCCGAGGCAGGGTTGAGAGCTTGGGGGCGGGGCCTCCGCCTAGTTAAAGTCCCAGCACCCCACCCGCTCCTGTCCCGTCCTGTCCCGTGGAGATGGCCCCAGCACCGCTGCTGCCATCTGTGATGGTGGTGCTGCTGTTGTCGCTGCTGAGCGTCCCTGCAACGACCCAGATCCCGTCCAAGGAGGTGGCCGCCTGCAAGGTAGGGACTACGATAAAGCGAGTGACACACAGGGGACCAGGGCCCGCACCCCATTCTTTCCGCCGGTGCCCCACGCCCAGGACTCCCGAGCCTGTGGTGTACTTGGCCTCTCCGTGAGTCCCAGTGGGACCGGGACCGGGACAGGGCCACCCGCCCTCATTCTGGTGGGACAGCTGGGGCGGCCGGAAGTGTGTGCCCTGGAGAAGAGTCACGGTGCGTGGGAGCCGGGCTAGGCTTGTGCAGAGGCGGAGGGGACACCGAACACAGGCCTCAGGCACTTGTGATATGCGCCGCCCCGCAAGCCCAGTGGAACGCGGCAGGCTTGAGCCCTTGAGGGGCTTCCCCAGGGGGTTCACAGGTGCGCCTAAGGGCCTGCCTGGGGTTAGGAAGCTGTGAAGTCTGTTTTGCAATAGAATTGAGATGAGGCACACTTAAGGACAGAGTCAGGAGCTGGGTTTTGCCAGGCGTGGGGACACATGCCCGCCACCCCAGCACTCAGGAGGCCGAGGCAGGAGGGTCACAGAGCTACCTAGGCAAGGTCTGGAAGGTAGGACTGCACTCACACGCTCAAGCGTGCGCCCCTGCAGGGTGCAACCCAGACTGGGAAGATGACAGACATTGTATCCTGCCCAGGAGCATGGCCTGTGTCTGCACAGGACCCCAAGGGTGACTGCGGCACCTCCGGTCAACGTCACTTTGTACTACGAGGCCCTGTGCATGGGCTGCCGTGGGTTCCTGGTGCGCGACCTCTTTCCTACCTGGCTGCTGGTGCTGGAAATCCTAAACGTCACGCTGGTGCCCTACGGGAATGCTGTGGTAGGCAGGCTGGGGAAACTGAGGCGGGGGCAGGGCTGCACCCGTCCCCAGTGCTCACGGGCTTGGTGTCCTGCAGGAGCACAGCGTCAATGGGACATGGGTGTTCAAGTGCCAGCACGGGGAACGGGAGTGCATGCTCAACAAGATGGAGGTGAGCTGGGGTGTCCAAGGCCGGGCGGGCAGGTCAGGGGGCCCCAGCCTCACACTGTCCCCACCCAGGCCTGCGTGCTGGACCAGCTCGAGCAGAATGCTGCCTTCATGACCATTGTCTGCCTGGAGGAACTGGAAGACATGGAGAAAAACCTGGCCCCGGTGAGAGGCCCCGACCTCACTCCGCAGGGGGGACAGCAGGGCCCTGAATTCAGCATTCCCAGCATTAGGGGGGCTGAGGCAGAAAGATCCCAGCCTGGGCTTCATAGCAAAACTTCCATGTGTAAAGCAGGGGCGTGGAGGTCTTGGGAAGACCTCCTGAAGGAGCCATCTGATCTTTGTATGCCAGGGGAGCTGGGAATGTGCGGATGCCAGGGTTCTGTGGGACATAACTGCCCATGGGCTGATTCACCTATCTGCTCATGTACACACTCACCAAACATCCAGGCCACCAAAGAGCCCTCACCCCAAATACTCCCAGCTTGGCAGGACCACAGTGTGGATGGAGGTGTGGAGGGGAGAAGGGTGTTCCTGGCAGAGGGAACAGAATGCACGGAAGCTCAGAGGACAGGAAATTGCAGTGGGGAGTGCAGGTACAGCGCCGAGCCTGGCAGCATGGATCGGGTGCCTGCTGTTCATGGGCTCTGCTGCTGGCGGTGGTGCCAGCTGCCCCCCAATGGTAGTGAGGAAGCGAGGGACAGTTGCAGAGATAACAGGGAGGAAGCTGAGGCAAGGCCTGTCCTGTCACAGTGTCTTCAGCTTTATGCACCCGATGTGTCGGTGGACAGCATCATGGCGTGCACCTCCGGGGCACGTGGGACGCAGCTCCTGCACCACAATGCACAGCTCACAGACGCCCTGCAGCCACCTCATGAATATGTGCCCTGGGTCCTGGTGAACGGGGTAAGGACCTGGGGTGGTACAGGGCTGGCTTCCCAGCGCTCTGGCAGGCTGAGGCAGGAGGATCTCCAGCTGGCGCCCAGTCTAAACAACTTGGTGATTTAAGGGGACCCTGTCTAAAGCCCGAGGCAGCTGAGCACAGAGGGCCCTGGGATCGCTCCTCAGTGCAGCAGAAGGGGCTGGGCAGGGGAGATGTGGGACCTTTCCTTTTGTTCCATGCAGAAGCCTTTGAAAGAGCAGAGTCAGCTCCTGAGTCTGGTCTGCCAGCTGTACCAGGTAAGCCTGGCACAGAGCCCTGGGGGGCCCCACTGCTGGGGGCAGAGGTGGCAGTGTCCAGTGGCAATGCTGGACTCCACGGCGTCCCCTCTCCAGGGCCAGGAGAAGCCGGATGTGTGCCCATCCGAGGGCAGCACTACCAGGGAAGTCTGCTTCAGATGACGGCAGGGCCTGTGGGAGCCACGGAGGAGGAGCAGCCCTGCCTGCCTCCTCCTAGCAGTAGCCCACCCTGTGACGAGCCGCGCACGCACACCCTACACCCCTCCTGAGCTCCAGATCATGCCTCGAGGACAGTGGTGCTAAATGAAAGCTCATTTGATAAATAATAAACCATTTTGGCTGTTGTCATTCATTCTTTTTGGATGTTGTTTGTGTGTGTATGGTTTTTTTTCTTTGTTTTCTTTTTTGATACAGGGTCTCACTGTGTACTCCAGGTGCTCTTCAAACTCCAACTGGACCAGTCTCCTGCTTAGCATCCTCAGTGGCGGGATGAGAGGACCCCTTTTCCCCCGCCCACTAGCAGCTACCTGCTGCCACTGCGCTCAGGTGCTGCCCTGGTACTCCAGGAGGTGGACTGTACTGCATCTAGCAGGACATTCCAAAGTGGCTACCGAAAATTTTAACAAGAACAGAATCCCCTGAAGTTGTGGCTTCTCTGAAGGAGCTGAGAAACCTTTGCCAACAGAGGCCCCTCTCATGGTGGCTGAGGCTGCAGTGACGCAGACACAAGCCCAGTTTGCCCAAGAAATTGTTCCCCGAAAAAGAAAGAAATTGTTCCTCCTGCAGTGACAGAGGGGGCTTGCAGCAAAGGGGGAAGTCAGGGCGCTTTCTTGGAAAGGAGAAGGGCTGGGGTGGGGCTGCCCAGGGTAGGGCCCGGCTGCAGAGGGCTGAGTGCCCTGCTCACCTGTCAGCTCGGCTCCGGGCCTGGGCAAAGTCCAGCCCGCAGCAGCTGTGCTGAAGTGCGCTGAGCCTCTGCTCCCCAGGCCTCCTGCTCCCCGGGCCTCCTGCTCCTCCGGCCTCCTGCCCGACGGCCCTCAGGCAGGTCCTCCTGACCCCTCGGGGCCGGGGCCTCAGCCCTCCCTGGCCCTGGGCCTGGGCCGCCCGCCTGCCTAGCACAGGAGCACCACACTGTACCTACACAGACCTGCCGCTACCTCTGCTTTCTTTAAATCTGTACTTTGCTCTGATTCCATCCTAGATCTGGCACTGGCAATCTGGCTCCCCATGGGGCCGTGTGGTAATCTACACATGGATTACTGGTTGCTGGCCAGGAGACAAGTGAGACAGGCGTGGGGTGCAGCCCCAAACATCCAGGGGGTGGAGGCAGGAGGTTCTATAAGAGGGTGAGGGCCGGCCAAATAGCTCAGCAGATTAAAGCGCCTGCAAGTGGGCGCAGCGGCCAGGGGTTTGATTTCCAGCCTGCCCTGCCAGCCCTGCCCCCGAGGCTCGCTGAGGCCCCGTCCCCGGAGTGGCTGAGCCAGCAATTGAGACCTGGCATGTGGTGCGCCTGTAATCCCAGCTCTTGGAAGGCTGTAAACAGGCAGATCACTACCAGTCCAATCTAGTAGTGAGACCCTGAGCATCCTGTAGACTCTTCCCTAAAATACAAAAAAAAAGAAAGAAAGAAAGATGGGGGCCTGCCCCTTAGCTCAGTTCTTTAAGTGACTGCTTCAACCAAGCAGTCAGGATCAGGTTGCTGTGGTTCGATCCTCACAACTCAAGTCAGCCAAACCTGCCTTGAAGGCATGCAGAGCAAGAAAGAAAGAAAGAAAGAAAGAAAGAAAGAAAGAAAGAAAGAAAGAAAGAGAAGAAAGAAAGAAAGGAAGAGAAAGAAAGAAAGAAAGAAAGAAAGAAAGAAAGAAAGAAAGAAAGAAAGAAAGAGAGAAAGAAAGAAGAAAGGGGGGTGAGTCCAGCCAGGAGGAGATAGTGCGTCCCTATCTCATAAATCCTGCCAAAACAAACGTGCCTTTAGCATGAAGCAGGGCCTCGTGGCACACACCCAATCCCAGCACACGCTGAGGGGAGCATGCCCTGAGGCCAGGAGTTTGGTACCAGCCTGGTCTCAACATGTTCAGACCCTGTCCCCAAAATAATAAGTTCATTTCATGTGAATTAAGTGTTTGCTTTTTCCCTGAGACATACTGTGTGAGAAACATTTTAGCTGAGGGGCCACACCAAAGCGGGTGGCGACAAGATTCGGCCTGCGGACACCACCATGAAGTACAGAGAACAAACACCTCCAGTGAAACACCCTGCTGCCGACAAGAACACAGGGGGCCATAAAGAGGATCCTACACTGGCTTGTGTTGCCACGCAAATTCGCTAAGACAGGAATTCACGCAGGTTGCAAGTGGCCAGAGAGGCCAGCGCTTTCATTGTTATTCATTAGTCCCGTTTGTAGTGCTGGGGAGGGAAGCTGGCTGCGAGGATGCATTCACAGCGCTTCGCAGGGAGCTACACCTCCAGGGCCTTTCCAAAATTTATCTGGCAACAGGATTTAGCTCAACTGCCCAGACTAGTCGGACTGGCAATCTTCCTGCCTCAGCCACTGAAGAAACTGAGATTGTGAGCCTGTGCCACCTTTTCCAGTTGTTTTTATTTTTACTGGTTTCTTTCTTTCCGTTCTCTTTCTTTCTTTCCTTCTTTCTTTCCATTAGTTAATTGAGACAGAATCTCACTATGCAGCCCAGGCTGGCCTCAAACTCAGAGAGATCATCCTGCCTAAACCTTCTTAGTGCTGGGATTACAGGAGCGCACCACAACACCTGGCTGTTTTTATTATTATTATTTCAAGAAGGTCAATGCAAGAACCTAGGTACAACTGAACAACTCTCACAAACCCCCTGGTTCCTCTCCCCCTACTTGCAGAAGAGATGGACTTCCACCATCTGAAGCTGCGTAGGTCACAAGACAGACTATCCTGTAACTCCAGGAGAAATCGATATCTGCCTGGTAACTAGATCCGAAAGCACGGGATCTGCCTCAGATTGGCCACCTTCGATTTGGAAGGCGGGGCTAAGGGCCCTGATTTGCTCGCTCAGTCCCTGTTTGCGGTTGGCTAATACTATAAGCAGGGGTGTGGCTACGGTTATCCCTCGGCCGGTTTATAAAAGCGCAGGGATACAAAGGTGCAACGTCACCTGTGGCTGAGTGACGCATATTTGCGATTGGTCCACCAGCTGGGGAGGCGGTGCACATTCTGGTTTGCGATCTACAGATCTTGCAAAAAACTATGACTACTTGTTACTGGCCAGTACTTCTGGGGGCGGGCTAAGCGTGCCCAAGACGACCAGCGATTGGTCAATGCCGCTTGGCCCGGGTATGCAGAGCGCGAAGACAGGATGGATTGGCGAACCCCGGTGTGGGTGGGCCCTAGGAGAGCAGTAGGGACTGGAGATTGGCCAGGGCAACTGGGGCGGGGCAGCACGCCGGTTCCTGGCGGGGTGACGATGGCGCCAGGTTCCTGGCGGTGGGTGCGCCGGGTCTGGGCGGCGGGGCAGCCCCTGTTCCAGGGCCGGGCGCTCCTCGTCACCAACACGCTGGGCTGCGGCGTGCTCATGGCGGCTGGGGACGGCGCGCGCCAAGCCTGGGAGATCCGTGCGCGGCCGGGTCAGACGTTCAGCCCAAGGCGCTCAGGTGAGGACCGTACTGCTGCTCTTTTATCTGTCACCCTTAACCCTTTGCCCAGACTCGGAGAGCCCGGGTCAGACAAGTGACCCGTGACCGGTGACAGACCCACCCGCGGGACTCTACCAGCCCCTCCCCGAGTGTCTGTCCACGGCACCCCGGCACCTCCACTCCGAGTGTGTCCCGTCCGGAGCCCCGGCGCAGCCCCTGCTTGACGTGGGGCTGTAGTGTCGCGTCCCCGGCTGCAGCGCCTGACCGTGCCCGTCCCCAGCCCGCATGTTCGCCGTGGGCTGCAGCATGGGCCCCTTCTTGCACTACTGGTACCTGTGGCTGGACCGCGTCCTCCCCGCCGCTGGCCTGCGCAGCCTCCCGAACGTCGTCAGGAAGGTGCTCGTGGACCAACTGGTGGCCTCGCCGCTGCTGGGCGCCTGGTACTTCCTGGGTAAGGACGAGAGCGGGCGTGCAGAGATGGCCCTGAGAGGCCCTGGGCTGAGGCGCCCGTGGCGGTGGAAACGGGACAGACCCGGCCTGATGGGGGTCATGTGACGCCCCAGGTGGGAGTGGGGACGCGGAGCTGCAGCACAGCTGAGATGGGAGAAGCCCAAGGCCTGTGCCCAGCCTGCAAGCTCGGTTTCCCGGTCGGGAAGGAGCCTTAATAGATGCGCTTCCCATCCCGGGGCTCCTCCGGTTCCGTGTTTGTGCGTATGAGCGCCTCGCTGCTTGTCGCGGCCCACATTGGCACATCTGCCCTGGTCATCCCGCCATCGCAGGAGCCCGCGGCCTCCACACTCGGTTTCCTTTCCAGGCCTTGGCTGTCTAGAGGGCCAGACACTGAGCCAGAGCTGCCAGGAGCTGCGGGAGAAATTCTGGGACTTCTACAAGGTGGGAGGAGCACTCCAGGGCCCCGCCCCCACTTCACAGGCCCCGCCCCTCACACCCTATCTCCCTGCAGGCTGACTGGTGCGTGTGGCCTGCAGCCCAGCTGGTGAACTTTCTCTGCGTGCCCCCCCAGTTCCGGGTCACATATGTCAACAGCCTGACGCTGGGCTGGGACACCTACCTGTCCTACATTAAGTATCGGGTGAGCATGGATGGCCCAGGCAACCAGGGGACTACTGGGGGAGAAACACCTGTGTCAGCCTCAAATGGCACTGCAAATGCAGCAGGTGAACTGTGCCGTGACAGTCGTGACAAGCCTGGTGCCGGACCAGGTGCCGCTGTGACCACATGTCCTCCCCAGGCTCCTGCGTGATTTGAGTGGGGCTCACCCCTAGTGCAGGGACTGGCAGAGAGGTGTGCCGGGTTTGCCTGGCAGTGAGTGAAGCTTCTTTGTGACAGATCCCTGGGACCCTGGCACCCCAGGCTGGGGACTGAACTTCCCTGCCCAGAACTGGATGACAGACAGGGCCGGCCACCTTGGAGTGACCCTCTTCAGCCAAAAGGGGACTGACTTGCCCAGCTGCGGGCAGGGGTCCTGGGCCTCAGGTTGGTCTCAGCTGTTCAGTGTGAGCTCGCCACCCTGGGCCCAGCTCAGCCAGCCTGGAGTCCCAGGCCCTCATCACTGCCCTGACCAGGCTCTAGGCACGTGACCAGGCAGCCACCCCAGGGTGCCCTGCCACTCCTCCAGAGGAGCCTTCTGCCTCTGGCATACACCGAGAACCCCATTAAACTGCTATCCTGGTGTCCCCGGGCAGCCACACACAGGGACACCGCGTGGTCCATTCGCTTTATTGGAGTGTGGTGGTGTCATGACATTTCCTAGGGGGCTGGGGGGCACATTTGACACTCGTGTCATCAGAACAGGTCTGGGGGGCCCTTGGCACCCCACCCACCCAGGAAGCTGGGACCGTGCAGTACGGACCTGGCTGTCATTGCCAGACACTGACCCCTGGTCCACAGGGTCCCCAGAGTAGTGGCCTGGGCCCCCACAGAGCCCAGGGCAGGCAGGCAGCCACCTCCAGTCACCAGACTAGCCTGCTCCGGGTGTCACCTGGCCCCCTCTGTACAACCAGCAACTGTGATGGGGGATTAGAAAAACCAACAGGGAGATGGGAGCTGCGTGGAGCAGGGTAGGGCTTCATCAATAAATAAATAAATAAATAGCTACGATAATAAATAAGGGGTGGGGTGGCGGGGGTGGGACTGCCACCCCAGGGGGCGGGGCGGGGCGGGGCCCTCAGCAGGCACAGTCCTGGTGCGGTGGTGCCTGCTGGTCGGTGAGCTGCGGGCCCTGCTTGGCGCCTGTGACCGCAGGGTCGGCCGTGTCCAAGGACTCAGACATCTTCTCACAAATGACGTCCACCAGGCGCTCGAAGGTCTGCTTCACATTGATGTTGTCCTTGGCGCTCGCCTCAAAGAACTCAAACCCTGGGGCATGCAAAGCGGATGCCACATGGCGCAACAGCTGGGCTGCCCTCCTGGCTCCCTCCGCCTCTGGGCCCCTAACAGTCCCTGCCCCTCAGCTCGGATCCAGGCTGTGTGACTGATGTTTGCCCCAATGGGCCCTCTGTTCCAGCCACAGAGAGTGCAACACACAGAATCTCTCCCACTGCTCTGTTTCCTCTGCCCTGCAACCTACCCATGCCACAGCCTCATTACACCATGGGCCGACTCTAGTCACAAAGTGAGGAGCCCTTTAGGGGCTTAGCACCTCCCGACATGGAGCCAGGCAGTGAAGTCATCAGAATCAATCACTTTCTCTATGATGAACTCCTATACATCCATCAAAACCCATCTCAGTGGTTCCGGGCTCTGCCCATTTGCAGAAAGTGTGAATTGCTGGATTCAAATTCATGCCCTGTCCTGCCTTACCACACACCTTAGGTGCGTCTCATCTCCTCACTGCCCCTTGTGTGGCCCGTGTGGCACTCACCAAGGTGGTCAGCCAGCTGCCGGCCACGCTCTGACGACACCACTCGCTCATCTTCCATGTCACACTTGTTGCCCACCAGCAGCACCTGGGCGTTGTCCCATGAGTAGGTCTTGATCTGAGTGGACCTGCAGGAGTGGCCACTGTGTTTACAGCTGGGAGGCCTCACGCCCCGCCCTGAGGACCCGGGTTCTGACCATTTATGTCTGACACGGGGTCTCACTATATAGCTCAGACAGGCCTTGAACATACTATGTATCCTAGGCTGCCCTCAAACCTAGGGAGATCCTTCTGCCTCAGCCTCCCCAGGGCAGGAATTCCAGCCCTGCGCATCACACCTGCACAGGACCTGGATGGGCCCACAGCTTCTGTCCTCCCACTGGGGGTGTGGATTCCTCTACATGCTCACAGCTCTGGGCCCTTCTCTCCAAGCCAGGCTGGGCGGGGTGAGGGCCTCACCAGTCCTGCACAGCATTGAAGGACTCCTCGTTGGTGATGTCGTACATGAGGATGAAGCCCATGGCACCACGGTAGTAGGCGGTAGTGATGGTGCGGTACCGCTCCTGCCCTGCCGTGTCCTGTGGGAAGGAGCCAGGGCTCAGTGTGGTTGAGCTGTGCAGCTCGGCTGGGACAGGGACAGCTTTCAGGTCTCCTGAACCACCCTGCAGAGCCACCTTGCCTCCAGCACTCCCTCAGTCACTCAACAAACATGGCTGGGTTGGCCCTCATGTAGGTTCAAGGGATACAAGGCTAACCAGAGGACAGCAACCGCCACACAAATGCAACCTAAGGGGCCAAAGTGAGGGCGCAGAGAAAGAGGAGGAGAGGCACAAAAGGGGGTGGGGAGGGGTGTAAGGCCGGGAGAGCCAGGCACACAGCTAGCACGCCAGCACTGGGGAGGCTGAGGCAAAAGATCGCAAGTTTGAGCCCAGCCTGGGTACATTAGTGACTTACTAAGACCTTGAGTTAAAACAAAAATCAAACACCTGAAGAGGTAGCAGGCACATGATGTGCACAGTGGAGGGACCCTCCCACGGAGGCTGCCCTCCAGCCTCAGGGACGCCATCCCAGGGAACAAGACCCAGCTGAGCTTCACATCTAGCAAGCCTGAGGATGTAGGAGGTGGGAGCCAGGCTCGGCCCACCCAGTCCAGGCCAGGGTGGGAATGAATGAAAAGGGAAAGGAAGCACCAGACTGCTCCTGAGGGTGAGAAGGGTCTGCCACCCACCCAGATCTGCAGCTTGATCCTCTTGTCATTGCGGTAGATGGTCTTGACCTTGAAGTCGATGCCCACAGTGCTGACAAAGGCGGGTGTGAAGGAGTCGTCGGCATAGCGGAAGAGGAAGGACGTCTTCCCCACACTGCTGTTGCCGATGATTAGGATCTTGAACATGTAGTCGAAATTCTGGTCTGAGGACTCCTTCTGCCCATAGCGAGAGTCTGTGGCAGACGCCATCTGGGGAAGCAAAGGGACAGTGTGAAGGGGCTCCTGCATCCCCACCTGCCACACTGGGAGGGCTGTGGGATGCAGCCTGCCCTAACCCCACAGGGAGCCCCAGTATTCATGGGGTTCCACAGCATTCTTGCCTTGACCTTGAAAGCTTTCCAAGGAGGGGCTCAAGGAGTTGTGAGCAGGGACACCCCTGTATCCCGGATGAGACTGTGACCCTAAACCTGGTGGAGCATGGGACTGGGACGGGCCACCCCCATTAATTGTTCCAGGCCCCGGGAAGGTGTGCACCAGAGCCCACAGCCACCCTGGTCCCAAGCCCCTGGGCTCAGAGCCTGCACTGAGGCCGCTGCACCACGTGACAGAGGCGGGGGCAGGGTGTGCGCGACTCACGTGCAGCTGGCACCACTCGCACCCGCACACGCCCTGCAGACACGAGTGTGCGAACCCTCAAGGCCACAAAGGGCGGAGACACCACACCTGTCCACATGTAAGCCTGCGCGTGGGTACGTGCAGACCCACCGAGCGCCCTGCTCCCTGCACCCACCGGGACATGGAGCCCTGCACACTGCCGAGCACGCACATGCACCATCCACGCACTTCCCTGCACACTGTGCGGCTGACGCACACCGGGGCCCTGACCCCGGCCCGATTATCCGAGCAGACCTAGGTTCATGCACAAGTGTGCACAGCCCTGGGCACAGGCGCGCACGCACACCACGCGCACGCGCACGCAGCAGCCTTCTGCGCGTAACCAGGGGCGCCGGTGCGCCCTCCCCTCCCCCTCCACCGCAGCGCTGGGCGGAGGTGCGGGGTGGGGGGCGGGCACATTGGGGGCGCTGGTGCTCGTGAGGGCGCCCGGGACCCCGACCCCGCCGCGCGTGTTCGCCCTGCCCCCCTCTAGCGACCCTGCCGCAGTCAAATGAAGGTTATGCGGGCCCAGGCCGGGGCGCGCGGCCGCCGGAGCTCACCTCGCTTTGCACCCAGGTGGCAGCGACCGAGCGGCAGGGACTTCTCCGGCGATGGCGGCGACGGGCCCCCCGAGCTGGCGTGGGGCTGCGCGACAGCAGCGGTGGCGTGCGGACACAGCTTGGCCCCTGCAGTCCGCGGTGACGTCCTGCAAAGAGCGGGGCGGGGCTGCACCTGCAGACGCGGCGTGACGCTACCGGGGCGGTGTCTGGCATGCAAATGTATGTGACGTCATGGGGGGTGGAGCCTCTTCCAAAAGCAAGGCCAGAGCAAGCTTTCAGAGGAAGAAGAGGCGGAGCTCTCCCGCAGATTGACGCTTGGGAGGGGCGTGGCCAGTCCTGGACCGCCCCTGGAGGTGGCCCCAGATCTTGCTCCGCCTCTGTCCGCCTCCTGGGCGAGGTTATCATGAGGCTTTTCGTTGGTTTAAGTACTCGAGCGACTGACAAATTAACCAATCAGACGCTATGCACTCCCTCCTCTTTTCAAGGGTGGCTCTCAGCCATTTGAAGGGCCGAGAAGCGGAGGCCTTGTCCGAGCCCAAGGCTTGGGGAACTGCTTCCCTCCCCGCCAGCTAGCACCCCAGGTCCGCGTCTCCTGTAGCCCCAGCCTCGTCCAAGGTGCAGACTCCTCATTAAATGCCCCCTACTCTTTCAGAAATGGAGAACTGGACTCCGGGGGATGATCGATCCATGCCCTACCCCAATATTTAGGGCTTAAAATAAATAAGAGGAAAGAGGGGTCGAGAGGGCCCCATTCAGTTCCTAATGTGTAATACCCCAAGATGGGGGCTGGCAGAGATCTCACTCTCCCCGTGTATTAAGTTGTAAGAAGCAAAGAGGAACTGAGATCAGGACAGCCCCCTCCACGCCGGTCCCCACAAAGGAGAGGAGGATGGGGCCCCCAACCCTCCTTCCCTGTCCCCCCTTTCATCCAGGAAAACAAGAGGAAGTCGATGCGGGAGAGAGGCCCCCAGTCCCCATCCCGGACTGCTGGCGAGAGACTCCACGCGTGGTCCCGAAACCTCAAGAAAAACTTCAGATTGTGGGGGCAGAGACCCCAGGACCGCACCCCACCCCTGAGCTCGGATTGCCCCTCCCTCGTTTTGCAGCACAGCTGCGGACACCGGAACCCCATCCCTGGGCCCCCTCCCTGAGCAACCGGCCTGGGCTGTCTGCTTGTAGACAGCTGCCGGCTGCGGGGGCGCCGCGCCCAGAATAGCTGCGCCAGGGCTGGGCGTAGGGTGCCCACCACAACCCGCTCCGCGCGTGGGGCTGGCTCTTCTCTCAGGGTGACCCGTTTATCTCCCTCCCCCACCCCACAGCGGAGGAGTGGACAAATTCAGAAAAACAAAGCATAAATAGCAGTTATGTGCACATCCCAGATGGGGGTCTGGGCCTTCCGCGGGGAAGGGGGAGGTTGAGTCAGGTGGCTACAGAAACACCCGGGGGCAGGCAATGCTAGCCTGGGCACCTGCTTCTGTTTTGTTTAAAGATAAAAATAACAGCCTGCGCGTGATAGCTGAGTAAGTGAGGCCACCTGGGAGGCTGAGGCAGGCGGGTTGCGGTAGGAGGCCCGGCGCGCGTAACAGCTGACAGTAAAATCATGAAAAGGGCTGGCGATGTGGCTCAGTGCGCAGGCCCTGGGCTGAACCCTCAGTGCCACCCAAAAAATCTTTTGGCTTTTATTGTAGGGCAATTTATTGGAGAAAAGGAATAAGAACTAGGAATCGCTCCTGAGCCGCACGGGTCCCGAATGGGTTGCCCCAAAATGCTTTTTATTAATCATGCTCATGTATCCACTAGAGGTGTGTGAGCTGTGCCAGGCAGGTGCCGCGGTCCCATGCGTGAGCGAATGAATGCGGATTTCGGTCCTGGGGGTGAGGGAGGAGCTCGAGGAAGAAAAAATGTTACGTCTGCGGTGGGTCAGGTGGATTTTAAGGCAGAAAGGTGAACCGCTGCGAGAAGCAGATTCCAGCACCGGCCTCGTCCTTTGCAAATTCTCCGCAGCGAGCACGCCTCCCCTCCCAGGACAGGGGAGGAGACGCCCCGCGCCCACCCCCGCCCCCAGGTCCTGTCTCTAAACACTGGTGAGGAACTGGCCCAAGTTGGCGCCCTGGGCGGCTTTTGTTCTTTCCGGGCGGAACCTCAGCGTCAGTGCTGACGAGGACGAGCAGCCGCGGTTATCATAATATTTATGATCGAAGCCAGCTGTTACCCGAGCGGGGCCGCTGAATGACGCGAATCGTGTGTGTAGTTCCGGGCCTCACAGCACTGAATGCCGCCCAAGCTGGGCTGGACTCTGGACTCGAACCCAGCCACGCGCCGCTGCGCCCCCCCGATGCCGCCGCCAGGGGGAGCTGTTGGCCAACATTGGCTCCTGGATGGCCGGGTCCTGGCGGATGAACCACACTTCGGTGCATCCATCTGCTCACTCATCAAATAGGTCTTTGCGGAGGGTCGGTGTAAACCAGGCCAGCGCTCACCGCTGAGCCGAGCCCCCTAGCCTTATTTTTTATATTGTGTCATCGTGTTGCTAAGTAGCCCCGACTGGCCTTGAAATCGCCACCCCGCCCCAGCCTCCCCCCCCCCCGCCCCCACAAGCTGAGACATCAGGCACCACACAGCCCCTGGCTGGGGCACTAACATTAAACAGAGGGTGTCTACAGGCCTACAGAGTTTAGCGAACAGCAGAGAAAAGTCCAATAGCCCCAAATCTCGGTGACATTTCAAGCGGGTCTCAGGTACCACCCCCTCAACCAAAGTCCAGGCAAGGCCTGGGATCACGCCATGGAGGGAAACTGAGGCCCAGATGCAGCTGTGGTTGGCAAGAAAACACTTCCCACACTCCAAGGAGAGCCTGGGGCAGCTCCCGCAAGGAGACAAAGCACCCAGCGGCCCTGTCACCTGTTAGGGAGGGAGACCGCAGGTGGCTTGCCATTAGAGTCCCTGCAGGCCAAGCACTTGCCTAGCATGGGAGCACCCCCAGAGCTGCCAGAGAGAAGGGAGCGGAGAGATGATGTGGTGGAGGGGAGGAGGAGGAGGGAGAGGGCGAGGGGGAGGGGAGAGGGAGGAGGAGAGGGAGGAAAGGTGAGGCATGAGGATCCCACATGTAAATCTAACCCACCAACTCTGCAGTTTAGGGAGACCCGCATCTCAAGACGACAAAAAAGCGGGCCGGGGTTGAGCTCACTGTGCAAGCCTTGGGCTCAGATCCCAAAATACCAAAGGGAAGTAAAATGGAAGCAGGGTGGCGACTGCGGTGGCTGCCTGGGCCGCTGGCCCAGAAGACTCAGCCAGGGCTGACAGAGGAGGGGTCCTGGGGCTTCCCAATCCCCTCTGGGGCAGGCTCAGTTCCCTAGAAGCTCCAGGGGCCCAGAGGGGCCCAGGTCCTCGCTGGGGCGGGGGACACAAGCTAAGTGCTTGGGGCATCTGGGGCCACCGCTGCTTCCTCCTCCGTTTCCTCCAGAGTCAGCTCAAACTGGAACCTGGAGGGGGTCCCCCGCTCAGAGCCCACAGAGTCCAAGGGGCTCCGGGGAACCCTGCTGTGGTACCATGACCTGTTATCCTCCAGCGTGTCCAGCAGGTCCTGAGCATCAGGGTGCACCAGGTCAGCCCACGTCTCCCACAGAGGGTGGGCAATGTAGTCGATGAAGCCCACCTGGAAAGTGGCACAGGGAGGGCAACAGGCAGGCAGTGAGCCATGTGGGCGCCACCCTACAGCTGGTGCATTTGGCCACAGTTTCCACTGGTTGTCGTTTCATCTCCCAACTCCTATTTAACCTGCAAAACCCTATTCCTAGAACTCACTGTTGAAATTCAGGGGGAGCTCAGGGGCACAGCATCTGCTAAGCATGTGTGAGGACCTTGCCAGCGCACCTGGGACTTTTCCACCGAGGCCGTGTGCTTGTCGCACATGGGGCTGACGTCCAAACCCGACTGGCGCTCCCGGTCCCCCTGCCGGAAGAACTCCGCCATGATGCGGTCCGTCCACCGGCGGTAGAGGGGCAGCGGTTTTGTGGGGTTGCTCAGGTCTGCACAATGGACCAGGTTCTGCAGGACCTGTGGGGACCGAGGCTCGGGGTGCTGGCCCAGCCCAGCCTGGCCCACCCCCCGCGCTCCGGTGGAGAAACAGAGGCATGCACAGGAGCCGCCCGCACCTGGATGCGGTCTGCGTAGGTGTCCAGCAGCAGGACGCCGAGGCTCGTCACCTTCTTGGTCTCCACCATGGTCTTGAGGTCAGCCAGCAGGTTCATGTGCTTGGACATGTCGGTGGCCAGCACCTGGGGACACCAAGGACAGGGGTGAGGGCCCGGCCCTGGCCTCCAGGACCTTGCCGGGAAACCGCACTTGGTGGTCCCAGGCCTGATCACAACACCCACCAGGGGGCTGGTGACTCGTGGTTGAGGACCCAGCCGGTGCAAGGGCCCTGGGCCTGGCGGGGACAGCTGCAAGCGCGGGTGAGCCCACCAGGCTCACCATGTCGATCGCCATCCTGCGCAGGCTCAGCCACTGCTTGGCGCTGAGGTTTTGGAAAATGTCGCAGTTCTCACCCTGCAGCAGCTTGAAGCCCACCGCCAGGTGGTGGTTCTCCAGCACGGAGATGTCGTTGTACATCAGCGCCAGCTCTGACTCTGTGGGAAGCCAAGAGCCTAAAAACCCACTCCGCCCAAAGGCTGATTTTCCAACTCCTTGGAGAACTCCTACCCATACTTGGAAGGCCCACCTGAAAACACCTCCTCCTCCTCCCCGAAGTCACCGAGGACCCTCACCGTAACCTGACTGTGCAGAGACGGGAGTGTTTCGTTCAGCTCTACCTAGCTGTGTGTGAAAAGGAGGGCCAAGCCCAGCCGTCCCCACACTCACTGGTGTTGATCAGAAACTGGTTGGAGACCCCGGGGTGGTCCACATCATGGATAGCGCTGGCGAAGAGGGCGGCCAGGACCTCCAGGTCTGTGAACACCGCCTGCGCAGGAGCAGGCTGTGAGGGGGGGGGCTGACCCCGCCCACTTGCCGCGAGCCCCGCCTCTGCCCGCCGTGAGGGGCGGTACCTGAAGCGCGGGCATGGCCAGTAGTACATGCGCGGACTGCGCCACATCGGCAGCGTGCAGGCTGTTGTGATAGGCCACATCCACATGGTAGTGAGCCTCCAGCGTCAGCAGGTAGGTGGCCAGTGTGTCAGCTGGGATCTGGAATGTCTTCAGCAGGTCCCGCTCCTGGTCCATCACAGGCCCTCAGTCCCTGAGGCTCCAAAGCATGTTGCTTCTATTTGGTGCCTCTTCTGAACTTTTACACAACCTTCAAAACCCTGTGCTGCAGGATGCCCTCCCTCGCTCTCTCTCCTGAGCCTCTTCAGTCTCCGACCTCTTCTATTCCACTCCCCATTCCAGGACTGTTCTCTCCAGGGCTCAGGGCTCTTTTTGGAACCAGGCCCAGGGCTGAGGCTTGTAGACAACATAATATTCAACCTAGCAAACTCCTATTCATCCTTCATTACCCTACTCAGAATATCCCATTCAAGAGCATCAGGGAAGCTTGGAAGAGTGCGTGTCCCTGAGATGTTGGTAGGAAGAACAGAAGGAAACCCTGGGATATGAGAAGCACAGGCAATACCTGGAAGATGCTGAACAGGATGGCCGTCAGGGGCCGGTTCCCACTTAGCTCGGCCACCCTGAACACGTCAAGGCCCCACTTGCTGGTGTCTTCCAGCTCCTGAAATGTGACCATCAGTGGTTCCGGCAGCACTGCAGAGCCGACACAGAGCCCGCCCTGCCATTCCCTGTCCCACCTTTGCTAGCTGCCCCTCCTGGTCCGTCTCTACCCCAAAGCGCGGGACAGCCGCTGAAGACAGGCCAGGCCGGGTGAGCCCGCCAAGGGCTGGGATCTCGGACAGAGGCCTCGGGGGCAGCTCCACATCTGCGTGCTGGTCTGTGGGAGGTGGGGGCTCAGTGGAGACTCAGCTCTGGACGCAGCCCAGCCCCTACCTCTCTGAGAGGTCGCCCAGCCCCATCGTGCCCTCTCCTCTGGCAGGGCTTTCAATGCTCGCTTCGGCTAGGTGTGGCTCTTGGAGCGCAGTGTTCTTTCCATCTCCCGGGATGGAGACCCAGGCTCTGGCACCCTCCAACGGCAACTTCTCCTCATACCTGAGTCCCAGCTGTCAGCCCTGTCCACCCAAAGATAGCCCGTTCCTCCCTAGCTCACCCAGGAAGGTCCGGGAGATGTACTCGGACACCTGGTTCCCAGAGCGGCTGGTTTCCGACAGGTGGGTCAGCTCTCGGTTCAGCATGCGCTTGAACTGCAGGCGACAAGGGGACGGTGAGGGCCGGGTGCATCAGCTGAGTAGGGGACAGGGGATGGCCACCCCACTCACCTTGGTGGAGGCCATGTCGCCCACCGAATGCCGCGTGTGCAGCGCCTCCAGCTGGTCCAGGCACCAGTCCAGCTCCGCCAGCGTCTCCAGCGCCAGCATCTGCGCCGCATCCTCTGCGGGCGAGCTCGTCAGCGATAGGCCTGGCCCTGCCCAGCCAGCCCCACCCCATTGTTTGTGCCTACACCCCACACCGGTGTGAGGTGTAGGTGTGCGAGCTGGAGCCTGGGTGGCAAAGGCCAGGGGACATTGAAGAGGGGAGGGGTGAAAAAGATCCACAGCCCTGGGGCTCAAGAGGTCACAGCGAGCTGGGCATGGGTGGCCCTCGGGGAGGCTAGGGACAGGGCTTTACCTGCAGCTGGAGGGAGCTGGCTGCTAACTGGAGGGCTGGAGACAGACGCTGACCTGCGGCAACAGGAGAGAAAATCAGGGACTCTGCCCCAGGCCCCGACTCCAAGGCAGCCAGACTCCACCCCCAGAACGGTAGGCCTGCACCAGGCCACCCCCACAAAGCAGTCAGGCCCCTCCCCCAGGCTATCCAGGCCCCTCCCCCAAGCCACCAGGCCTAGAAGCCCCAGCCCCTGCCTGCCCACCCCCTTTTCTCATTTCTGTCTCCCCTTCCCTCTCTTCTGGGATTTCTGGTGTACTGAGGTTGGAACCCGGGGCCTTTACATTGAAGTAAATCCCGGCTTTTTTTTTTAGACACAGTCTCCTAAGTCACTAAATTGCCCAGGTTTGGCGCATTTATGTATTCATTGAGGCAGTTCTATGTAGTTTGGGCTGGACTTGGTCTCACTATGTAGCCCAGACTGGCCTCAAACTCTTGGTAATCTTCCTGCCTCAGCCTCCCCAGCACTACAATTACAGGTGTGCATCACCATGCCTGGCTCCAAGATGGACTTCAAGTCGTGATCCTCCTGTCTCAGCCTCCCAAGTACTGGGATGGCAAGTGGGCGCCACCACGCAGCCCTCCAGATGACGCATCTCGTGGGGAGTCCGCCAGGGCACCCCAGTGAGCCCAGCCCCCACCATCCTCTCTACCCTGCATACCCGACTGCCCTGCTGCCTTGGCCCTGGGTGAGTGAAGCCATGTTGCTGCGCACGGTCCGCAGACTGGCCAGGACCTGTGGGAGGCAGGGTCAGTGGGGCAGGGGAAGCTCCACCCAGGCTTCCCAGCAGGATGCGGGGTGACACCCACCTGGGCAAAGGGCGTCACAATCAGGTCTTCTCCGTGTCTGCAGGAAGAGCACAGTCAGGGAGAGCCCCAGGCCTCTTAACTGACTCCCCCAGAGACCCACAGCCATCCCTAATCAGCCATGTTCAGTGTCTCATACATGGAAAACTGGGTGCCAAGGGCATGAACAGTCTCCACAGAATCGGACAGAAATGATTATTTCTGTTTTCATTAAGCTACCAGGACGCTCAAATCTATATGTTGGTTTGCTTACTACTAATATATCCGGGTTACCACTCCCACCCCAAACCAAGCCAAGACCAAGCGAATAATACCCACTGATACAAGGGGCTGCACGCTCGACTGAATAAATTAGCTGCCTGGCAAACTCCTACTTAAACTGGAAAACCTATTTCAGAAGGTGCCTTGGGGACCAGGGAGATGGCTCAGTGGAATAAATGCTTACCTGGCAAGCTCAGGGGCCTGAGTTCAATCCCCTGTTCGGCCAAAAAA